CAGACAGCTAACCATCTTAACAGTGAACGGTTTTCCTTTCCAACCTCCTGCCTCAACCAGAGACAGAAATTAAAGAAGCCAAAACAATCCAAATGACATTTCCTCATGACTAAAACATCACAAGATGTACTTTATAAACAGGGGTGGGGTTCGGCTTCAATATTTTATAGGGGACGGGAGCGGGACTAACTTGGTTTTCAAGGCTTTGTTTGTTTGCAAAAATCTATTATATTAAAACATTGAATCTTTTCACATTCTTTGGTTAAACTGTAAATTCAGACATTATAAAAAAGGAGGGAAACATTTAAGTAAAGCTTCAAAACAAACAGCAAGAATGGAGTTTAAAAAGGCAGCTGTGGACTGCAAAATAAACTAAAATAAAATGGACGTTTCCATGGGGGTTAGTTAATACCAGTCGAGTTGTGGGGACAACAGACACTGAAGCTGCACGTGGTGTTACTTACATGTTGGAGGCCTGTTCAGTGCCTTTGCAACATCAACCATGTTGACAATGACCGTCTTGATTCCATTCCCTTTGCCTTCAACCTGGATTAGATAAAGACAGACAAACACACAGACCATCAGCACACAAACCAAGAAGAGAAAACATAAATAATTCTGCATCTAAAATGTTATTTCAGGCTTCTCTGACTTGAATAGAGTCAACATGGCGTTCTCTCCACTTATGTAATAACTTTTAAAAACATTTACAACAATCACGTACAAACTTTAAAACCCCCCTGTGACGGAGAGCCGTTACCTTGGCAATCAGACGGGGCATCTTGTAGCGGTAGAACTGGTCTGACACGCTGCGGTTGACGTTGACAGACATTTTGGCTGGATGTTAGCACTATCAGTAAGATAAAAGGATCTTGGTTGGGGATTTTTCGGGATCTTCTGTCTGGAAAAGAGGGGATGACATAAACGACTGCAAGCGCGCTCGGTCTCTGACATGAAAAACGCTGTGCCGCTGTGGCCGCAAGCTCCTTGCTTGAAGGCTAGATTTCCACCACACAGGTTCCAACGGCTGCGCAACAGCTCTGAAAGAGGAGACGGACAAAAAAAAACTATTAATATTTAATAAAGAAAATCATTCAACATTAACTTCATATGTGTTCTAGCCAACTTGAATGAATAGAGAATATTAACTAAATGTTTTAGTCACCAATTAATGCAAAGTGCTGTTTTACCCAGTAACAGTAAGAAGATATGCAGCTGTGTCTGTGCCAATATTCATGGAGAAATCTAAAATTTATTTTGATATTTTTGCCAAAAAAAAGAAGGAAAACTCACTTTTTGAGCCTCTATTTTGGTTCTAAACTGTAAATGTTTGCTTTCTGTTACATTTGTATGATAAACTGTATATTTTGGGTTTTTTTTACACTGTTGGTCAAACAAAATAAGCAACTTGAAGATGTAAATTGAGGCTCTGGGAGATTATCATAAAGATTTTACTGCTGTAGTTTATAGACCAATCAACTGTAACAGGCAGATTAATCATTAAGAAAATAATTAGTAGTTACACCCCTGATTATACAATTTATTTTGTAATTAAAGTAGTGTTGAACTGTGGACGGCCCACAACCCACAAGAACATAATAAAACTGATTACTGTGGTGAATGATGATTCCTGAGTGACGGCCATTAGTTAATCCAGACCAGAGTGGAGTTATGACACAGATAGATACTTTATTTATCCAGCAGCATACAGAACATAGATTAAACCTACATTAAATTAAAAGAGCGGCGTTGTCCAGGGTGTGCCAACCCAGGGAGACATGCGGAGAGTCCCCTTATGGGAATATTTCTCAACATTAACAAGTTTATGCATCAAAATAAAAACCCTGCGTAGCCTGACAGATTACAAATATTAAAAAAAAGGCTGCGCTGAAGCCTCTGCGCAAAGAAAATAGTGCTGACAACATCAAATAATCCATGTGAGCTCGGTCCAAAGAGGAAAAATAAAACCCAGCCACTGTACTAAATGCTTTTGTGGCCATATACGTACAAAAATGGTATTGTGAAAGCCCTTTGTCTTACATGAGGGCCTCTGGGTTTAGTCACATAAGGCCTTCTCTTGTTATTAGGTCAAAAACAGGAGGCCTAGCAGCTGCCAAACACCCCCCCCCCCCACCCACCACCACCTATCTGCTGACGGCTTTAATACCAACTACCAACTACCCCAGCCTGCCCCGGTGAATGCCTCAGCAATGTCAGGGTGATTCGGCGTGAAAGTGACTCCCGACTGGTTTGACAGCCTCCACAGGTGATGCGTTAGAGCAGGGCAGAGGTCGAGGCTACCTCGGAGGGAGGCTAGCTTAGCTTAGCTGACTGCTTGGTGCAGAGTGCGTCATACAGCCACTGCACACGAGTGAGGCGACTGGGAGACGCCATTTTGATACAGGAGGCACAGAAATCGTGTGATACTGCACAATAACTCCCTCATTAGCTCAGGAGAAAACCCCCACACAAACACACACATTTACAGGTCATAAAGCGGCGAGGATACGCCACAGTTTGGTGCCCGGAGACTTACCGTTTTCGCAAAACAAAGACATAAACACAACGCTGATCGTCCAAGAGCCGCAGTGAACGGTGGTCGATAGCTGGGGCTGGTGTTGTATCGATTGCAGCTGGGTCGTTCAGGGGGGGTGTTCGGCTCTCAAAGATGCACAGTTAAAACACCCTCAAGCGTCCAAACAGTGCAGGTGCCAGGCTCCAGAGACTGAACTACAGCGGGGAGGGGAGGGGGTTGTATCTGGAAACGTCCTCGGGGTTTGGGGACCTTTTGGGGGGGGGGAAGAAGAGGAAGAGTATTGTTATTCATACAACCTGTCGTTCATTGTGTGGGTGGTCAACCGCCACGTACTATATAACAGCCACCAGAGAATAACGCAAACAACGTAACGTAGGTATGTCACGTTTTTAACGTTATGTAACGGCAGGTAACGACGGCTAGCCACGAGCTAACAGGCTAACGTTAAAACTACTACCGTCAAATTCCACCTAACGTTAGATTTATAAATATAACTACCAACAATACATCCTTTCTTTAAATAAAAAAAAGCGTGGTTACCCGCGGAGGGACGGGAGTAAAGCTCTAGGAACGGACTCGCCGTTAATCGTGTCCGTTATAAATAGCGTCGGAGCTCCAGGAAATAGCCAGAGCCCCCCCACAAGCTACAGCTAAAGCCAGTCGGCGGCGTCCCGCAGCTCACGCAGGTATTAGCCGAGGCTCAGTCGACGCGGCCGCGCTGAAGATAACATGATTAAAGTAAAGTAGTTCTCAACGCTCCGTCGCTGGCTGCGGGTTTCTATGCGGTGTCGTTAGCGCCGTCAGTTGCGGGGGGTGTGTGGGGGGGTTGAAAGCCACGTCAGGACGAGCTGAAGGAATATGTGGTGAAATTATTTCTGCTGCTTACCTCTCGAATGTTCTGCGATATAGTGCGCCTCACGTCCTTTTACTGGCGAGCGTCAAGCGGACGGATACGGAGCCGTTAGCGACTTCCGGTGGCAGCGGCGGTTTAAATAAAACGTCCGCTCGCTCCCTGCTTGTTTATATGTGCTACATCATTGTTTCAACGGCGGGAAATACGGGAGTTTTATAGAGATTGTTTTTATTTTTATTTTATTTTGTTCCAGAATCATCTTTTAAGAAACATTTAGTTTAATTTTAATTATTTTTTTTTTTAAATTACTTTTTTTGAATAAACGTCCGCTCGCTTCCTGCTTGTTTATATGTGCTAAGTTACATCATTATTTCAACGGCTGGAAATACGGGAGTTTTATAGAGATTGTTTTTATTTTTATTTTGTTCCAGAATCATCTTTTAAGAAACATTTATTTTTATTTTCGTTTTAATTTTAATTTTAATTTATTTATTATTTTAAATTACTTTTTTTGAATAAACGTCCGCTCGCTGCCTGCTTGTTTATATGTGCTACATCATTATTTCAACGGCTGGATATACGGGAGTTTTATAGAGATTGTTTTTATTTATTTTATTTATTTTTTTCCAGAATCATCTTTTAAGTAACATTTATTTGTAACTATTTTTATTTTTATTAATTTAATTTAATTTATTTTATTTTTTAATTCAATTTAATTTTTATTTGCCAGTTATGTGACTCCGGTTTTTAAGTTATTCTCAATGTATATACACAGAATAAGCATAAATAAACAGGACAACAAGCTCAACAAGAAATACATAAACTACTATGTACAGTTATACATATATAAATATATTAATAAAACAATAACATTTGTAGACAATAGTGCAGAATGCAAATTGTGCTGAAATAAATATTTACATGCAGGTTTCTTTATGTATCTCTATTTATGCATTTTGCTTTGTCTGTCAAAGCACTTTGTAAACTTTTACGTTTTTACAAGGTGCTAAAGAAATAAAGTAATTTATTGATGATTAATTAATTTTACCATTTCTGTTATAACGTTACAAAAGATATGTGTGTTTGTATATATACACTAACTACAAACTACAGCATACAACTGATGATCATTTCAAGGATTCAAGATTATTTTATTGTTATTTACAGATAAGTTAACTCAAAGCATTGTGTAAGTTAAAACATTCTTGATCAAGCAGCTTTTACTAGTATAAACTCATCTTTATTTGTACTAAGAAAACTAAATATCTAATAAAAAGTACTTAATCAGAAATGTTTCTGTAAAACTAGTAAAAGCTGCTTCATCTGGAATATTTCTAACAAAAAAACTAAAATTGAGATACTGTTACTTAAAATGTTTGATGTAATCAACTTCAACTTTTATTTAGCTAAAGTTAAAATATCATATTGCAGTGCAGAATTGTATAATAACATTTAGATTATATTATTTAATATTATACTACTAACAAAAATTAAATATGATAAATAAGTTTTTTTTTAAAAACCTATATAAATGCTTATATGTATATTTATTAGTCGGTATTCGAGCTAAATTAGTTTTTAAATTTATTTTGAAAGGACAAAAGGAAGTGGTGTGACCAGTATGACGCTTACGCAGCTATTCTCTTTTCTCATTGGCTGACGTCCTGACGCTGTGCTGTGCGTGCGTCCGTGCGTAGGCGCTTCCTCAACTTGCCTAGCAGAAACAGCAGAACTAGAAGATGGTGAGTATGAAATGGCGTAAAAGGCCAAACTCTCGCACATCCACAGCGCGCCTTTCGAGCTCTCCCCTCGCACAGTGTTGTCTTGGTTCATCCGTCGACGTTAGGAGCGCGACGCCGTCGATTTAACAGTCTGAATTTACGGGTTATCTTTTAGTGAAGCTTCACTCCGAGATGGATCGACGATCACATGACAGCTGAACACTTTACCCCCCCCCCAAAAGAAAACTAATAATTCAACCAGCCGCAACCCCCCCATAAAGTCCCTCTGTCCATCAGCACCGTGGTCTGTTCGGTGTTTGTCCATCAACCGTTGCTGCTGTCGGTTCATATCTTTTATTGTTTTAACTTTTGTTTTTCCTGTTTGCCAAGCAGTTAGCTCGCTGTGCTAACATGCTACCAGGAGCCCTGTGTCGCTGTGCACCAGTGGGGATTGTTTAGTTAGTCAGCTATTAAATCCCCCCCCCCAGCTGTGGATTTAAAGGAGTTACATTAGGGCTTCAACTGGACGTCGTTCATTGTGTGTCTTTATCTGTGTGTGGAGTTTTTTGTAGGTTGCACAGGAGCAAGTTTAAATCGATGTAGTTGATTGATTTAGGACTAAATTCCAATCAGCCCTTTTGATTTGCTTCACCACATGATTTTGCATTTGCTCACACACACACAGAAGAAATATCTCTCTATATATATTTGCTTTCATCATTATCACTAACCATCAACCATTAACAGTCGATTCAACCACATTGTTGTTTAACTTTTCTTATTTGTTTTTGAATGATTAATATCTGTCTACTTAATCCATTCACTTTTTAATTTCTAATTTCAGTTTTCCCTTCTTGTCCCAACTCTTTCTTGTCTCTCTCTCTTCTTTTTTTTTTTTTGTCTTTGATTATGCCTTGTGTCGTTCTCTCCATGCACATCCTGCCTTTCTCCCTATCTCACCCACTCTCCTCCTCCCACCCCTCCCTGCCTGTCTCCAATCAACCAGGCTGGTCACCGGGTAAGTGTCCCTCGCTCTGTGTTGGATCCCTGTTTTCTGCTCGCTCTTCTGCCTGGCACACTAACATGGGGTTGGGGATTGTGGAGGTCTGCTGTTTCAACTAGCTGCTGCTGATTCAGCCACTGCAGTGCCGTGATCTGGTTTCCCGGCAGGCTGTAATGCTTTAATTACACTTTCTCTCAGGTGTTGTCCTCAACCAAGAAACTGAGAAAGAAATGAGTCGGCGTAGAAAACCTACAGCTCCTGTATTAGATTTCCAGAACTCATATCTGTGATGACTCAGGCAGGATTTTAAGGTCACGTTCCTGAAGATGTTTCAGGAATGAAAGTGATCCCTCATTGGGGGAATACTTACTGGTGACTCATCTATTTCAAAACAGGAAGACATTGTGAATGGAGGCTTTCCACTTCAGAAATAATTAGCTGTCCTGATTGAACACATTTTAAGTGAGGAAATCTAATCCGGACCAAAGTTTCCTGTTTTTGTTGTTAGTGAACGAAGGTTTGATGCAGTAAATATAAATGTAGTCACTTTAACTAATGAGAAGAACTATTATTTTGACAATAAACGTGTATGGAGTGACACAAATATGGCTATAATTTCACACATTTAACTTGCATCAGACTGTTTTACTCCAGGTGTTTGCACTGCTTCATCATATAAACTGATATATATGGTGAAAGATGGAGCCTTGAAATGTTGGTTTGATTTCTTACCAAAGCGGTAACATGCTGCCACAGTTAACATTTACAGCACCTCTCTGCTGGCTAGTGGAGTTATATAAAGGTTGTTTAATGTATTTCATGTTTATTATGGAACTTGAAGTTTGCGGGTGTTTTGATTTTTATTGACTCATAGTGTTCTGTGAATTACATAATTATCTTGCTCGTATGTCCTCTATCTGTTATTGAGTGTCTGGAATCCAGCTGTGATGATTCAATCCATATTTTACCACCATGGGCTGTTTTTTAGAATAAGTAAAAAAAAAAAAAAAGAAATCACCCAGTTTGAATTCAGACACTTAATATAGCTTTTTACTCACAAACATTGCTTATTTACAAGTTTGAGCTTTATGAATTAAGCCTGTTTATCCACTGTACTGAATTAATCTGGAGTATGGTGTTCAGGTGCAATAACATAAAACCTTTTTGAACCAGATACAAAACAACTTAATACTAACTGAGGAGTAAAGTGGTTCTGGTGGAGTCTATGTGCACCCTGACCTGCGGCATCCAGCAGGGATCTGTCCTCGGCCCACTCCCTTTTCCAGTGTTCAGTTGCTGCATCACACAGCTTAAACTCTCCCAACGCTCACTGGTGGTTGACTAACTCATCTGTGTGTGTGTGTGCGCGATGTTATCAGTTGGTCTTGGTATTAGGTGACCTGCACATCCCCCACCGGTGCAACACCCTGCCAGCCAAGTTCAAGAAGCTGTTGGTCCCGGGGAAGATCCAGCACATTCTCTGCACAGGCAACCTCTGCACCAAGGAGAGCTATGACTACCTGAAGACCCTCGCTGGAGACGTCCACATAGTCCGAGGAGACTTCGATGAGGTCTGCGTGTGTTTGTAGACAACAATGAAATAATCTACAGCCTTTCTAGGAGTCCCTAAACACTTAATTACACCCCAAAATACAGTTAGAAAAAGAGAGACCCAGTTTCTTTAATTAGGGTAAGGGATTAATTAATCGTGTGAAACTAATTGGGCTGTCAGCGTGGGTGAAAAATTGAGACTTCAGCTTCTTATTAAGTACTTACTTTATGTGTTGGGGGCATGACATTGTTCTTCAAAGTCAGCAGAATTGTCTTATTTTATAATATTTCCAATAGGAGGTTTTGAACTAAAGGTAAAGATGGGGGAAAAAAGACATAATTTATGTGGCTTAATATTTAATAGCAAAGAAGGAAATGGATCTCGTGCCGGTACTAAAGACTAATTGCAGTGTAATGAAATTGTAATTGCTCCCTTCTTACAAATTGAGTTTTACCTGCCTAGTTCACAATTTTTAGAAACAGCCTCACTGAAGAGCTGGTTCCTTTAATACAGCGATACCACAGCAATTATAGCAAAACAGCGGTGCATAAACCTTATTGTTGCTCTTTCTCACTCGTCCCCTCTCAGAACCTGAACTACCCGGAGCAGAAGGTGGTTACAGTGGGCCAGTTCAAGATCGGTCTCATCCACGGACACCAGGTGATCCCCTGGGGCGACATGGCCAGTCTGGCGCTTCTGCAGAGGCAGCTGGATGTCGACATCCTCATCTCTGGGCACACACACAAGTTCGAGGCATTCGAGAACGAAAACAAGTTCTACATCAACCCGGGTTCGGCCACAGGAGCCTACAGCGCACTGGAAAGGTAGAGGAGTCATTCACACAGATAAAACCCACAAAGGATAGAAATGTGGAAAATACTGCCCAAAATAAGGCCCAAATCCAAACTCATGCTGTTTAATTTTTAGGATTTTACACTGATTATAAAACATTAGATTTCTTTTCATGTGAGCAACGTTAATTAGAATTGGGACAGTGTGAGCCAAGGTTATTATAGTTCACTAAAACTCAACTAGGCTAGGGGAAAAAAGTGAAAACGAACTGAAACGATATTGTATACTTACAAAACGAAGTACTGAAATGAGGAAACCCACTCCGGAGACTAACTGAAACTAAACCTAAAAGGAACAACATAAAAACAAATTAAAAATCTACAGAACTAACTGTATATAATAACTCTGCTGTGATAACTTCTATTAGAAATGACAGAAATTGGATCCACTGAAGAAGAAAGTATTTGATGGATGACACAGAAAGTCCCAAACAAATCTAATTTGTTGTCACACAAAGTTGTTCAGTGCAGCACTGTGAGCAAACATTAGTTCACTCACCATCACATGTTCACTTCAGATTGTCCTTAAAATGTCTTAAATATGATTTTAAAAGCTCTTAAAAATGGATTGGATTAAGTAAACATAATTTATATAAAGTTGCATTTTTCTGTGTTTTGGTGAAAAATTGTATCAATCACACTAACAAGTACAAAACTAAACCAACATGGAACCAGTGCCGATTGTCCTTCATATCCTTTGTACGTTGTTGCCAGTATGGAAGTGAAATAGGTCTTACATTGCATTCATAATGGTCTTTAAAAAGTCTTAAATTTAACCTGTAGAGACCTGCAGAAACCCTGTATTGGATCAAGTTGTGTGCAAGTTAGTGTGATTACAGGTCTTGTTCAAGGTGATTGATCTTGATCTCGTTCCAGCCTCCAAATAACTGCCTCATTTTAAAAGAGTCTGTTTATTTAAATTACCACAAATTGTATCCACGCAGGTAGTTTCAGCTTTACATGCTGAGGTTGTGAGGTTTCTGTTTCTGAGATATCAGCCTCGACCTCGAGGAATTTAAAGATATATGTGTGACGGTTCGGGACACAAATATGTGAAGATTCAAAGCGGTCAGATGAAAAATGAATCGTGATATCGTGAAGGCACAAAGACTTCAGTTTAATGTTTACAAAGAAAATGAAATATACATTGTTTTGCACAGTTTATATCCAACCTCAGAAATAAAACAGGATTCTATAATTTCATATAGAAAATATATTTTTGGAAGGAATATTTTTAAGTCATAATTTGTTTTCAATCTAATTTTGTTCAACGAAATCATGAGAACATTTTATTGTAAATTATATTAAATTGTGAGTTGAGCTTATCCCTATTTGACCCCAATACCATCAGTTACCTCCAATACAACGCAGTGCTGTTAATGCTACAAATAGCATTTAAATAAAGACATTTTGATAAATTCAACCACAACATTATTTGGAGCCACTTTCTATCAGTTAAACAGATTTTCTGGATAGAGACACTGAGGTGTTTACAGCAGCTGATGAGCTCCTCCAGTGCAGGTTTACAGGTTTACAGGTGTAATAGTGTAACAGTAGAACCAGACTGACCATAAGTACAAGCAGTCAGGAGTGCAGGAAAAGCCCTGACCCTAAAACACATCTGTCCTCTCTCCTTACAGCAACATCATCCCCTCTTTTGTATTAATGGACATCCAGGCGTCTACGGTGGTGACGTACGTTTATCAGCTGATCGGCGACGACGTCAAGGTGGAGAGAATCGAGTACAAGAAATCTTAAAAGGGCGGCATTAAGAGGAGGAGGAGGAAGAGGAGGAAGGGGAGAGGAGTTGGGTTAACGTGGCTCAGTGTATCGTTTCATTCCTTTCCACCAGGGGGCAGCAAGCAGCTCCCCTGCAGTCACCACAATGTTAATGCTGGAACAAACTGTTCAGTAACTTAACTCTAAAAGAACTATGTATTATATTGTTTATATGTCATCAGCATTTGCTTGTATCCAAGCTGTCATTTGGTAACTGTAGAGAATGCAATAATGTCACATGTATTTGTTATCAGAAGAAATATTTGGTGCCATTTTCATTTTGTTTTGTTGTTTCTTTTTCGCCCTCGTCATGTCCTCTACATGTAAACAACAGGCCTTTAGCTTCATGTAGTCGGCCTTCTTTCATGCATTTCTTCCCCACAATAAAGACATAATTTCACTCCATCAGTTGTTTTGTCTTAAATAATTCTGAAAATAATTATTATTATGATATTATGATATGTAAGCATATAATGGATAACCCTGTGATTGAGGTTGTTTTTGTTCTTAGTGATTAAAACGAGTATCAACACTTAAAGATACATGCAATATATCCTAGAAGTCCCCATATAATCCCAGTTCACATCCATAGTAGCACTGCTCTGCTCTTTCCGCCAGATATTGAACCTGGCTGCAGGGATCTGACCCCAGATCAACCCAGACAGGTTGAGGTCGGGGCTCTGTGCAGGCCAGTCAGGTTCTTTCCCACTGAACTGGGAAAACCATGTCTTTATGGAGGTGGTTTTGCACATTGGGGGTGATTGTGATGTTGAAACAGAGAAGGGACTGACTGTTTAACATTAAATGCTGTATTTTCTTTTACTGGAAGTAAGATTCGTTGTCTGAAAAAGAGCCACAGACCAAAAGGAAAACAGGCATGTCCTCTTACTTTTTGTCATATGATGGAATTTGGTGCATAAATACAGTAACTATTGTACTATAAGCCTCAGTTACTGTTGTTTCTGACTATTTGGGGTTTTCAACAAATTAATTAAACACAAATTGCACTTTTTTAGACGCAGATCTGCAATTTTAATTTTGAATTTGACCATTTTTAGGCCATAAATGTTTAGAAGAAAGTGGTTTAGTAGTATTTCCCCACCACAGTTATATACCTATTGTAGATAACATCACTTATAAGTTCATGAAGGGAGATAAAATGTACCATTGAATATATATTTAAGCAGAATATTAGGAGTATTTTCCTGTTTCTGGTTGTTCTTTCGGGGCTCTGGGTTTGTGCTCCATGAGGGAACTGATATGAGTATTATTTTAATTACAGTGTAAATCACAACAACCCTGACTGTAAGGAAATACAGAACATGGGACATTACTTGAAATTAGTACAAGAGGATATTAGTTTATTTAAACAATGGGATACAATCAGTGTTTACTTGTTGATTATATTGATGTATACAGAACAACAACCTGTGAGAGAGCAGATGTTTTATTCATAATAATACCCATATGCACACACACACTCATACATTACATACTGTTTGTATTATTATTATTGTTATATATATTTTATTGTTACTGTTATTATATTTGTGTTTTATAACAATGTTTTACTTTAGCTTTAGGCCTTTTAGGTTTTCTGCCTCTCTTCTGCACTGTGTACTATCTGTTGTCTTTTTAAACTGTACAAAATAAATAAAACTAAACACTAAAACTATCAGCAGTCCAAAGTATTTAAAATAATCTATATGTCCAGATATTTTCAGAGAAATAAAATCTAAAAACTGTATCTGCAGCTGTTTATTTAGGTTAATGTTGTCAATAAAAGTGTATGTGGTTGTGAACACTTTACCGTTTATACAGTGAGATGTGATCTCATTGTTCTTTAATAAGCACTGGTCACGTGATTTCCTGGAAGTTAGATCTTCAAAAGGTTTTCTCTTGCTGCCACTGAGGGGCACCAACGTACCAAGTCCCTGGATGTAGCTGCAGACTGAGCCAAAAGTTATTTTCAGTGATTCAAACTCTCCAGTTTCATTATTCTCAGGTTACACATAGTGTTATAGATACGTCATAAATCTGAGAACGTGTCATCGTTCCATTCTCCCAGAGAGAGTGAACTCAGACATTCACTCAGAGAGTCGTCCAGTCCTTCCTCCTCCTCTTCTTCCTTCTCCAGCAGCCTCATCCTGGCTCCTGGAGACAAAAACAAAAACATTTAACCAACTAAAAACACGACTTATGAATGGTTCTGTTAAATATTCTAGATATAATCATAGATTTGACCAAAGTTTGTCCACAAAATAGAATTAAAATGACCACATCATTGAATCCAATTGTCCTTTTACTGGGAAAAAAAATAGTCCTTGAGCAATTTGCTGGCTTACTTGTTGGACTTTTCCTCCGCAGTATGGGTGATAATGTACGTTTCTTCATATTTCTTTGTGTTGGTGCTGATGTGTTGGGAATCCTGTGACGTTAATGACAAAGTGGAGGATTACAGATGCTTACAAGTTCTGTAAAATGTTTATTTCCGAGTTACATTTTATGGCATTCAAAGGATGACATAAATTTAAACAAGAATAGGGATTTATTGCATCCTACAAATGGATATTGTTTCCTTTGTAATCTTCATTAAAATCATGTTTTTGTATATAAATATCTGTTAACCTTGCTCGCATGTTTGGGATTTTTGGAAGAAAGGATTTCCCAGGATTCCTTCCTTTAGTGTTTATCTTCTCTTTGTGTTTCGCCCTGGCAGCAGGAATGTGTGATCGATGTTTATTACTCTTGTCAGTCTTGTCCGGTGAGGTAACAGAAGTCCCAGTAAGGTCGTCTCTCTCGGGGTTGTAGCCTACAAACAGAAGCCACGGTCAAATTAGTGTTAAAACCTTTGTTTAGAGTCTCTGGGAAGGACATAAAGCAGGTTCCTAGAATTCCTCCTAATGTAGCTGAAAGTAGCTCAAGGTTTATTTAAAGTGCAATATCACACAAACACAATGAGTGAACACGGAAAACAAACACAAATCTACTGACACTGCGAGTTGTACATTGTAAGACACTGAGAACAAGTAAGTTTTGAGGTTTTAAAGGTCCAGTGTGTAACATTTAGGAGGAAAGTGAAAGCATCCCAGACACTAAAGTTTAATTAAAGTGGGACAAATGGCTCTGGGAGGATGTTTTGAGGAATTCTAGGGGTTTTCTCAGATGGACCAGATCCCAACCTACCAAATGTGGAACAGAGAATGTTTGTGTGGGACAATGTGGGGCACCAATGAGGTACTCTAAAAGGTTTATATAATGTCTAACTAACTTCATATTTAAATATTTAAACAAGATATTTTTAGGGGCTTTTTATGCTTTTATTTTGATAGGACTGAGAGCACAACATAAAAGGGCGGCAGGTTGGAATTCAACCCCAGCCGCTGCAGTAAGATCTCAGCCTACATGGGGCGTGCGCTCTAACCAGGAGAGATACCGTCCACCCCTCCCAGACACATAAACATTTCTCTTCTACCCTGTAGCTCATAAAATGTCTCAGCTTTGCCCTTTGGATGATTCAACAGCTCACAATAGACTGTGCAAGTTACAGGTGAGGCCTTCAGCATGTGAAAAAACTTCAACTCAAGGTTACCAGCTCCCACGCTAAGTAAATACAGTAAGCATTAAAGAGAGGGTTTCAGATTTCATATGGTCTCACGCAATCGCCTGTGATAAGACCGACTTCACCCACTTCATCAGTAGTTTCCCAGTCTTTGTTTTAGCTGCATTTGATTTTCTTAATGTTTTTCAGCGTATTCTGCCTAAATCTGCATGTTGTGACTTGAAATTTTCCCAGTAGGTATAATTAACCTGCATTTAACCCTTTATGTGCGCAGTTTGATTGATATCAAACAGAACCGAGTGATTACATACCTCCCTGCTTCCTTCACAGCCATTAAAAATGTGGGGCATGAATAAAAATGCTGTGCACCTGGTCACTCTACTGGGGACAGATAAGGATCCAGAATCATAGAAATATAAGACAAATATGGTAAAACAATATCTGAGAGGTACAGTGGGCAGCCCCTGCTTCATAAGTCAGGCTGTAAGTAAGTGAAATATCATTAATGGATTACAGTGTTGTTCAAAAAAAGCACAGACCTTATCTTTTTGTTTCTGTTGTTCTCACCTGTTTGTATACACCTGTGCAGCACGTTCATGTAGTGTTGAGTGATGAGGTTACGGACGTGTGCAGTGCTGTAGGAAGCTGCAACGGTGTACAGATACTCCTTCTGAGCTGGTGTTAATGCTGCGTGCTGGGGGACAGACAGAGGTCGGGTTTCACACTGATGCAGTTGTTCTATCACTGCACTTTGTTCTATTGTATTGTATTACATTATAAACTTTCACTAGTTTGAAACATATACTGCAGGATGAAACACTGCTGGGTTATAGATGTTATTGTGCACTGCAGCACAATGGACGGTGATTAGAAACTAGAAACACAATGAATAATAGTTCTACCTTCAGAAATGGGGCTGCTGTGATGGTTTTGGGGATTTGTATTGTCGTCAAGTGTTGGAGTTGTGCTTCACATCTCGCAGCTGGTGATCTGTTGATTTTCCAACCGTTATTGAAGTTCACGTTGGCATCTGTTACCAGAGAGAATGACATGCAGACCGTTGTGCCTCGGGGGCCGGCTGACAATGTTTGCTGAGAGGCAACTGAAGGTCTAAATATGCTTCAAATGAAACATGACAAAAGTATATATACCTGTTCTGACTGAGATAGAACCAAGACTCAACACGACAAGGTTTGGAGAGTTTAATAGTCTCTCTTGTTTGTCCGCATGAGGTGACAGAAGTGTTAACGCCTGAGTATTTGTGGGATAAAATAGGGGAAATTGTTGGATTGTTTGGGAAATTCCACCAGGACATTATTACATAATCCGTCGAGCAGTTTGTACTGTCATACTTTATAGTGCATTTCCATAACACAGAATGGGTCGATTGCTAATGACGTCTGATGTCTGATGTCTGAAAAGGTGCCTTAAAAAAGTGCCTTAAACTTGAAACTTGAAAAACAATTAATTCAGAACGCTGCAGCACGAGTACTGACAGGAACTAGAAAAAGAGATCACATCTCTCCTGTACTAGCTACTCTGCATTGGCTCCCTATAAAATGTAGAATTGAATTTAAAATCCTCCTCCTCACCTATAAAGCTCTTCATGGTCAGGCCCCTTCATATCTTAAAGGGCTCATAGTACCCTATTACCCCACTAGAACACTACGTTCTCTGAATGCTGGGCTACTTGTGGTTCCTATAGTCTCTAAAAGTAGAACAGGAGCCAGAGCCTTCAGTTACCAAGCTCCTCTCCTGTGGAACCAGCTTCCAGTTGTGGTTCGGGAGGCAGACACCCTCACCACATTCAAGAGTAGGCTTAAGACATTCCTCTTTGATAAAGCTTATAGTTAGGGCTGGATCAGGTGAGTCCTGAACCATCCCTTAGTTATGCTGCTATAGGCCTAGACTATCGGGGGATTTCCCATGGTGCACTGAGCTACTCCCTTCCTCTCTCTTTCTACACTCATTCATGTTCCATTAATGCATGTTACTAACTCCACTTCTTCCCCGGAGTTCTTGTGCTTTCTCGTCTCGCAGGTTCTCATGGATCCTGGTGGAGCCTCCTGCCATGGTCCTGCTTGACTGCCATTGCCAATACTGTTGTTGCTGTGCACCTGTCTGTCTGTCTGTCTCTCTCTCTCTCTCTCTCTCTCTCTCTCTCTCTCTCTCTCTCTCTCTCTCTCTCTCTCTCTCTCTCTCTCTCTCTCTCTCTCTCTCTCTCTCTCTCTCTCTCTCTCTCTCTCTCTCTCTCACCCCAACTGGTCGAGACAGACGACCACCCACCTAGAGCCGGAGGATCTGTCCTAGGTTTCTGCCTTTTAACAGGCAGTTTTTCCTTTCCCTTGTCGCCAAGGTCTTGCTCATGGTGGTACTGTTGGGTCTCTGTAATTAATGTTAAAGAGTTCGGTCTAGACCTGCTCTATTTGAAAAGTGTCCTGAGATAACTTCTGTTATGAATTGGCGCTATACAAATAAAATTGAATTGAATTATTTCTACTGTCCAGCAGGAGGCGACTCCACTGGCTGCAAAAGAAGTCTGATTGTATGTAAGCTTATGAGAAAATGACCCTGCTTCTCATTTGATTTATGAGCTCAGTAAACAGTTTTCTAATTAGTTTATGGTCTCAGTCGCTAGTTTCAAGTCTTCTTCCATACAGCATGATGTTTATTTAGTAAATTATGGTCCCATTTAGAGTAAAATAGACCATAAACAAGGGTAGCTACCATGTTGTGTTCTCAGGTTCTCATTCAGATCCAATCAGGATAGAGGCTTAACCTTGCCAAATCGTCCAAAAAATGTCCCTTCTGGCTCTAATAAACCAAGATACTCGAGGCTTCAGAATTGTACTCTACAAAGCAATAGGTGACAGTCTATGCTCCGTGGAAAACACTAAGATATAACTCTGAATAAGTCATTATTCAGTTTAAGAGGTGGCATTTGACTTGTAAAGTTGTCAAAGTGTTTAGGATACTTTGGTACACACGAGCCAAAACTGAAGGCTTGTATGTGGACTCAGTTAAAAGTGTCAAACCAAAGAGCTTCTAATTAGAAAACAGCACGAGTGAGCTTTCTTCCTGTAACCTATCAGGAGTGACCCGGGTCAGGTTGAGGTGTAGGATTTCCTCCTCTTTTCCACTGATCTCCATCACACCTGGTTCTCCTGTTTCAAAGCAGACAGGATACTAGACATGTTTTGTTTATTTAACAAGGAGATAGTGCATGCACATCTGAAACCTGACCCCCCGAGGAAAAGACTGCGAAATGGACAGAATACGGAGGATTTAATACTCTGAATAAAAAGCTGACCCAGTAGAGGCATTATTTGGGGTTCCTCTTATTTCTGCAAGGTCTTTTCTTTACTGCTGACTTCTTTAGTTTTTATAAAATCTCTATCTATGTTTCCAGGATTTAAGCTTACCCATCTTTGACTCATTCATCCCAGAACCCCTGCAAGAGAAAGAGCAACATCTCAGAGACATTAACACAAACTCAGAAAACATAACTGGGACAGAAAATATTAGTTTCAGGCACAGAAATGAAATGATTACTTTACCTTGGCAAAGCTTCATCCTGATGCCGCCTGTGGACCGTCTTTTTTTCAGCAAATGTCACTTGTTTTTTCATGTCAGGGCGACGTATGATGACTCCAGGCCAAGTATCCTCTGCACAAGCAAGCAAGCAGCCAGTTTAACTCCTGTTTAAGACATATCCGTCCACACTGAGGTCAGTCCAGATAGTTCAAGTAAAGAGGTTACTAAGGACCTTAGTGGGAGTGTCCTTTCCTATAAAGCTCCAGCTAATTTGCTGAAACAAAAAGAGGGAAAATAACAGACGTTTAGGCTTCATCACTAAAGAATAAGTGTTATTATAATTATAATAATTATAATTTGCATGGTCTCACTTCCAGGTTTCTTGGTCCTCTAATGTTTGCTGAATTAGTGTGTGGCTTCCAGTGTAAATTCTTTTGTCCCTAAACAGGATGAAATCTTAAAGAATGAATAAATGTTTCTGTAATCTGTTTGTTTGATTGGATTAAACATGTTTGTCAATTAGCTTGAATTGATTCAAATGAGGATTTTGGTTCATGCAATTCAATTTTAACTTTAAGCAAGCCTAAATGTGTGTATCTGTGTACAGATAAACTGAAATAGGAGCACGATTAAACATTCATTGTATTTTTTAGATCCTCCAATTGAAGAAAAAACCCTGAGATTAGAAAATTTCCACAGTTTTTATCTGGATTGAAGTTACCAGAGTGTGTAATATAACAACTATGTACACAGAGGCCAATTACATTTACATTATTCGACACTATTAATTCAGATTTATTCCAAATCTGTTTGAAGGATGTAAATCTAAATGTACTGCTTTTTTTATAGCACTTTCCCAGTCTTCCAACCACTCAAAGCACTTTACACTCACCCATTCAAACACAGAGGCTGCCGTGCAAAGAGCCGACTGTTTATCAGAAACAGAAACTAAGACTCAAACAGCCTTCAGGAGTTATTTGGGGTTCAGTTAGTGGACGACTCGCTCTGCCACAAAGCCTCAGCTGTCGGCGTCATTCTGTTGTATCCCCTTTCTTTAGTCCATGATGTAATATCTCAATAACTATTGGATGGATTGCCATGAAATGAAGGTGAAGGCATTCACGTTCCCCAAAAGATCAATTATAATCACTTTGGTGATACTTTAATATTTCATCCAGCACCATCATCAGATCAGAGTTTTGCTCTAGGAGGATGTTTTCACGTTCATCTGCTGCAAGTGGAAAGTTTCTCTGAGCTCATTCAGAATCAGATTTTAAGGGGCGGGGCATACGAGCATGATTTGTGACATCATAAATAGTTTAGAAGTCAAATCCTGATCCAGTATTAAAGTATAGAAGTGTGATATAGAAACTTAAAGCCACCAGTGCAAAAACACTGAGAATGAAGACTTTATAGTGAAGTAGGAGACATATTGTGTCCAACAGGAAAACTTTAAGAATTAACAACATTTACAGATTTGTAGATTCTGGAAGTTTTAATGAGGTAAAAGTAGTAGATGACTTTTTAACGACTGTGGAAATTATACGTTTGTTTTTTTTTTTGCAGAAAACAACACATCAGACACACATTATTGTTCCAATTGTTATTTGTGTGTAATCTTTAATGTAGTCAGTGGATTTGTGTCTGAGCTCGTCACTGGACAAAAAGGAGCTGTATCCAAAATAACAATAAAAATAAAATCTGATCAAGATCCATGTATGTAATCTTCTGGATACGGATGGTATCAGTTGGATCAGTATCTACTTGTGTTGTTGACTGACTGCCAACACTTTATGCATAGGTCTGGTGAATGACTCAACATTATTACTGTAAGCATTAACCTTAAAGAAGCTCTCAGTACAGCACTATGGAGACAGTAACATGGCTTTAAGAGTGCTTTCTCTCTTGTTTGATCTCGTATTGAATACATAGAAACATATTGGTTTTATGACTCTTCATGACTCAGCTCCTGATTGGAGATGTGGTTTTCAAACAAACGCTCCCTTGAAACTGAACTCGTTACATTATAAACAACAGACAACAACAACAGCGCTGTAATAGGCCACACATGAGCTCATTTAAATGCACCAGCCAATGGTTAAGTGGCATTTGGGCTCCATCCACTCGTCCTGAACTCAACCAATGAGATTGTCTCTTCCTGCTTCAAACATACATTTGAATTTTAGTCTGTTGGTTTGTTGGGAATTAAGGGAAATATCCAGGTCTCCTAGTTAACAGTTGGATTATGAACTCCTTGTGCTCTCTGAGACAACGGGGAATATCCCCAATAAATTCCTAGTCTCCAAGAATGCAATTTGTTTCTTTGAAGGGGAAATTTTGCTGATCATTTTCAGCGACAAGCCCAAACAAACTTGCAACTCTGCTCTGACATTAATCCGTTTCATTGACACAGTAAATAAATCCTTAAAGTAAATGATTGACATGTTTGATGTGTTTTAATCCTGAATAACAAAGTAAATTATATAAACACGTCATGGAGAAGTTCTCATTTTGAATATGCCAAAATAGAATCATTGGAAATATAATAATCTAAATAAGTCAAAGTGTGTTATTGAATTAGCTTTGGACGTGTTTTTGCCAACAAGAGTAACGTAACAGTTTCCACTCATGTCTCATTGCAATGGCATCTCTGCATAACAATACACCTGTGGGCACAGGTAAACAGTGACTGCCATTCACTTTCCTGTTGTTTCCTCCTTTCAGGTTAGCGGCAAACAAAGCAAGCTGCTCATGTTTGACCTTGAAAGTATATATATAAAACACACAACACTAACTTTTATTTCTTTATGTATATTTCACTACAAGCTGTAAAACACAGCACAAACATATTATCACCTTTTTAAAGTTGTTAAGATTACAGTTTACACATTTATTTATTCATTTACACATCCAGCAGACATGAGTAACATTAACTTACATACATACAACTGATATGAAAGTGAACCAAAACATTAAAATTGTGGCTGTGCAACCAAAACAATAAACAGAAAGACAATAAAATGCTCCCAAGAGCTGAGGGGGAGTGCAAATGTCATGATTCTTTGTGGATTTGTCATTTTGAGCGACATCTTTCACATTACATTGTATCTTCACTGATGAAGGTAACATTTATCTGTTAAGTAGACCTTAGATAATTTCCCCCTGGGGATCATTCTAAGGCATTATGAGCAGCTCACATCTCAAACAACAGTGAAAAAATAAGGTGAAGAACCAAAAAGGTGACAATAGATAAATAAAATAAGTAAATTCACACACAATATACTAAAGGACAGATAAGACTCAGCCTTGATATTAAAAATATCCTCAAAGTAAGTCGAAAGTATGATATAAAAAGTCATAATTATGAGATAAAAAGTGCGCATGCGCCTCAATGACAGTTGGCAATACATTCACAGATTCGCACTTTCCGCATTAATAACTCACAATCGGGACATTTCTAAAACTCAGCCGACCTCATAATTTCGATTTACTTTGAGGCTATTTGTTCCTGATGGAAATGGGCTTCCATATTATACAGTAACAGTACAATAACAGTAATATAAACCACACCTCAATACTTTCTGCAGAGGAGCTCAGTGCGACACAACAACTTTCCCTTTACCGGCGGGAGCTGCACCAGGAAAACGAAAGTAGATGATTATGGGAATTCCCTTCTCAACAGCGGCTATAAGAAAGTTGGCTGGCTCTCTGACGAACACACATCGCAGTAGGACCCCGTCTGAGACCAACCATTAATGCTCAAAATGTGGAAATTTAGAGCGTGCAAATCTTTGAGGAGCGATAAAAAACCTTTAATACGGAATTCCAGCAATGGCAAACAAGAAGGTAAGACTTATTATTGGTATTATTTTTAATATAATGCGTGCACGCTTTATTTAATAAAGCACGTAAAGCAGGCTTTATTTGCATATACAAAGTAAATTAATTATGTACTGTGTGCCTTTTTTAGTGTCATTGAGCCGTGTGTGTGTGTGTGTGTGTGTGTACAGTAAAACAACAGAAGAAAAAAGTAGAAAGTAGAAATGCAAGAAGAAGTGTAAAAACGTGTAAAAACAGTTGACACTATAGTGATGTGTTAGTAAAAATGTAATACTACTCTGTAAGTCTGACCAGATCAAACTGGTCTGCTGGGGAAATCCCGAGTAACCTGAATTCACCTGAGGGAGCGGTAGAGAAAAGGAATTACTGTTATGTAAATATGAGCATGAGGTGAAGCAGCACTTGTTTTACAGCCAAGAACTCGATCGATTAATCAGAAATAAAATGTGAGTTTACTGCAAAATCATGAGTAAAATGTATTGCATAGATAATCAACACACATTAGAAATGGAATCAGAATCAAGTAGTTTAGTTTTGTAGCTGGAGATCAGCATCCAGTATTTTGTAAAATATAAAATGAGGACAGTGATAGTCACTCATTTGGAGCCGTTCATGCATGGATAAAATGTAGTAACTGATGAGGTGATCGCCTCTTTCCTCGTTCCAAAACTTATAAGCCGATAAGCTGATAGTTTGTAACTGACATAACCAGCTGACTTCTCAGAGTTGTGACATGCATGGATGATTTATTTGTATAATAAACTTGTATTTACTTTACTTTTTCAAAGGACACGACCAGGCAGATGACAGGAACAACAACAACCCCTCGACCCAGAACACCTTCAACACCCACGAGGAACAACGCTTGCAGAGTGAAGTTCAGCTACTTCCTGAGATCACACGTCACGAACTAGCTGAACTTCTCGGCGTGGCCACTGATGACTCTGAGGATGGATCTTGTTTCTCAGGACAGCAGAACCTGGAGCAACTCATGCAAAGATCTGTGTCCCAGAACTTCCCAAAGCCACCAGCAGATCTGAACCAGAACCTTCAGCAGCACCTGGTAAATGTGCTGGAGGCTGTGCGCAATGACCTGGTGAAGTTGGGCCCCCTGTTGCAAACTATGGGCCATATGGAATATCTGATTGATTGCTACCATCTTCAGGCATTTGATCACCTCAGTGATCTTCTCCAGAGCGTCCACTCCTTCCAGAATACCCTTGTGCTGATGAAATGGGTCCTACATACATATCTGAGGTATCTATCAGTCAACCTGTACCTGCATGTTTACCTAGGTTGTAGGATATTAGATACTGAAGTGAAAACCGGTGCAGTTCTGATGTTGGTGTTTGTGGTACTTTTTCAGTTCGGAGCTGCTCCGTCATCCTGAACTTCCAGTAATGGATCCGGTAAAAACCATTGACCTCCTGCTGTACACAGAATGGGTGGAAAAAGCAAAGAACAAACTGCTTGACAATGCGCAGGTAAGAAGACAAACCTAAATTGTTAGTGGTGCTCATACAGTGTGCAAACTATACCATGTCTTTCCTGTCAACTTAATGACAAATATACATAAATTATAGCCTCAGAAAAATGGAAATATATGACAAAATAAAATATAACCCCCCCTAAAACCTCACGAATCATGTTTTCAGGAGAGCTGGTGTCTTACTAAGAGAAGCCAAGCTCCCTGGGGGTTCACACCCTGGAAGTCAGTAAAAACTTATCTTATCATGAGTGCAGAAATGCATGAAAGAGTCCAGGGTCAAAATAAATCACACCAGGGGGACAGACAAATATTTGCAGTAAAAGCTGCTGAACATTGCATCAAGAGGTGTTTTCCATTAATATAAATGGTGTGGACAGAATAATGGAGACAAGTGTTACGGTTCTGAACTTCCATATTTCTGTGTCTCTTTGCGTCCACAGAAAGAGGTCAGGCGGTCCCTGGAGAAAATCCTGCAGATTGAGAGAAGCCATGACTGTTGTGATTGTGAGGAAGCTTACGTTGGGTTTTATGTGGACATTATTCAGGTGAATAGAGTAAAACATCTCTTTTTAACTCTTATAACTCTTTTTTTGTATTGTATATTTATAATGACAAATTCTGATAGCATTTCTCTTTTTTTACATTAGATATTTATTTGCTTTGTTTTTCTTAATTTATTTGTCTCTTTCTTTATTTGTTGTATAATAATATTGTTTTTGTTTCTCTATAAGTGCATTGATGCCATGCCCAAAGAAGCACAGAAAATCAGCTCCAAACTGTCTGATGACGTCCAAAAAGTTTGTTTCCAAGAGCTGCTGACGTTTCTGCAGAGGTGAGAATCTATTTTATCTCAGGAATAAATTCTTCATCTACAAAACCTTGCATTAAAAAACAGCTTTAATTTTCACTGAGCCCTCATGTTGTGTTGTTTAAACAACATATTCTCTTTTATTTTGAAAGGTACACCACTGAGCAGAATGACATTCTTGGAAAACAAGCAGAAATGGACAAACCAGAAATGATACACTTCTTCAAGACTTTGACCACCTGTGATGAACTCAAGTGAGTATTTCTGGTTCTTTGCCAAGGATTAATTTAGTTCAGATTTACTGTTCCTTAACATTTAGAATAAAACACATAAGAACAGTCAACACACTATAGAAATGCAGTTAAAAGACATGAATCACCACGTAGTTAAAAGGTTTAATGTATTGCAAGAAAATATATAATACATTTATGATTTTTCCTCTCAGGAAGCACGTCCAGACCAAAAGTAAAAGCATCACAAGATCCCTTCTGCAGGAGACTGTGGAACAACTTGAAAAAATGGAGGCTTTTACTTTGAAGTATATCATAGAAATCACAGCTGACATTGCAGAGGTAACTGTTCCACTTAAGTCTATGCATATATTTCTGTTGAGCATTAAGTTCCTTCTTTACATTGTTAAGAACAGTTTGACTAAATAAGATGCACAATTTCCGTCCCACAGAGCCACCTTAAGAATTACTTCAAAACACAGAACAAGGAATTCTTCATCTTGATCCTCGGACTACAGATGTATTTCCCCAAGCTGCCGTGGCGTCATTACGAGGAAGCACTGAAGGTACGTTAAATATCTGAGCTTTAAAATATGTTGTTGTAGTTTTGGGTGCTATTCTTCTTGACAAAAACTGAACTGTCTGTCTGTGTCTCTCAGAGGGTGATGATTGAGGCCTATAAGCTCATCGTTCACATTTACCTCAAACATCTGGTCCAGAGAAGCCAGAGAAATCTGGTGAGGTGTTGGAGTCCTACTGTTGGGCAAACAATCATTGAAGATGCTGTTATCCTTCACAACACCATCTTAGAAATGGTGAGTTGTTGTTGTTCTTATTTCTTGTTAAAGACATTTACCCATTGGCAACATGCTAAGCTGTTATGTGTGGGTCTGTTTCAGGTCCCTGATGTCCAGCAGTGGAACCTCATGCTGCTGAAAACCCCAGAGCTGCTGGAGTGCAAAGGCATCGATGCGGTGAAGCTCACAGTTGCAGGCATGCAGAAGGAGTGTCCCACATGGAGGTAATGAAGTTTTCCTACGTCTCACCCAGTGCTTGATGCTGTTTTAATATTGGGTTAACATCTAGTGGCCATTAGAGGAACTGCATCTTATGAACTCTGCCCTGTGTTTGTCCTTAACTGCAGAGAGGACCAGGATCTCCTGCCTGCACTGCTGCGCTGGAAAGGTCTCTCTGGACGGGAGGTTAGGGAGGTGCTGGATGTCCTTCCTGGGCAGGAGATCAGACCCAGATCTGGATCCTGGTTCTCCTGTCTCACCTGCTGGTGAAGGCTGAGCTCCTCTACAGAAGATCAACTGCAACAAGCAAAGAAGAGGATGGAGCTGATTGTCCAAAACATTCAGTAACTTCCAGAGAACTTTTCAGATCAGCTGAATCCTGTAAAAACTCCAATGAACTGCACTCACTGCTTTCAGTCCTCAGATCTGATCTAGAGAGTTAGAGGTTTTTAATAAGCTTTGACACAAAATGAGGTAGGTCTGTGTACAATAGGCCGCTTATGTTTGAGTTAGCCCAAGTGTTCAAAAGGAGAAGTTAACTGGATTGTTTTAAATCTTGTTTTTCAAAATTCCTTGTTCTTATGCAAAAAACGTGCTTACTTTACTGCATCTATCCTTGCTTCACAAAGGATTGCTAGTACGCTGGTATAGACATTGGTACTGTAGGTTGTTTGTTTTTGTAAAACACAAAGCTTTAAAAGCAACTTTGTAAAAAGTAAATGCACTTTGGTTTTCTTAGGTTTTTAAAGTTGTTTACATTTGTAAATTTTTCGTTATGTAGGTGGATTATGGTTGATGGAAAATTGTTTTATGTTTCAGGATGTTTGCACACTGTTAACAGTAAAATCTGGTTTTGTGCAAAAGACTCGTAGCTGAACTAACGTCTCACATCCTGTAGTTTCTAAATGGGAAGATGTTTTTGTTGAGCTCTGATAATGAAAAGACAAGCACAAACAATTTAACTGAATTAAAGGGAAACGTGAACTGAGATTAGATAAAATATTTATAGTTATATTTTCATTCTTGAATAATTACCTAAATATAGGAGTTATGTTTCCGTTGTTTACTGAAGGCACTAAATATAGCAACGTTGAAGAATTTTAACTTGAGACGTAGAAACTCAATTGCACTACAGAAGTGTTTCTTCATTGTTAAAAGTTATCAGATGAAGAATCTTTATTATGTTCTTATTTAATATTTATTGAGTTTTAATGTATTTTTTTATAAGAATGTTTGAATCTTTAACATACACTTTCCAGTATTCACTACAATCAGTCATATTCACATATCAGAGTTTTCTGTTCAAAGCAAAGATCCTTCAGTTTTTATTTACTTTACAAACACTTCTGAATTATACGACAGATTCTGTTCAAACTTGACTGTTTTTACCTACTTCAGGAGATGTGATGTGTACTTTATGATCATCAGGGTATATGGGTTTCTAAATGTTTAACTTTTTAATAATATATTCCACCAAAACCACCAAAGGTACTTTTTGTATGAGCTGTACTGTTTTGGTTTACTGGTTTTAATTCCCTTTTTAATCTCAGTACAAAGTTGAATTTTCTGCATTAATGTAACAGTTTCTTTTCTTAGTGTTATACACTGTATTCTTCTATGACTATTTTGTTAAGAAGCTTGGGTTGCAGGGACACAAACATCACTTTTCTTTTTCTGTCAGCATAAATAAATTCAATAAGAAAACCTGTTTTTGTCTTCATTGTGCCACCACTAGATGGAGACTAATATCACCATACCAAAATGGGAATTCTTAGGGAAATTCTAAACGACACTGAAATCCCTTTTCACGCAGTGTGACATGTTTGTTCAACAAAACAAATGTGAAAATGGTTTGTTATACTGGATGTGGTGAAAACCTGACAAACACTATACAAAGAGATATTCTGCTGACACAAACACGAATCCTTCCTGTTCATGACCTTTGTCCTCAGGATTTCTGAACAGTCTCCTTGATGTAAACAACACACTGAGCTTTAATCACTCAATCAAATCAAAGAATCAATAACTAATGGTGCACACACTGTAAGCAAGCGCACCCTTTGCCCTTTGGATCAAATGAGTAGTACGTCAAGCCTGGGAAGTGGGAGTGCAGATGGAATCACTGACCAATGAATGAAGCTCTGAGCAGGATTGAGCTTTACACTGCAGACACAGTCAGTGCTAAACTATTAAAACGTGGACTTGGACTTGAACTAAAGATGAGTAAAGTGTGGAACACTCTACAACGATTAAAATCTCCAAGAACAAATAGGATACCTTTAGTTGATTATTACAGCAATGTCAGAGAAGAAGGTAGGACTTGGTATCATTACAGCCTTTTTTTGCATATTGCTGACTATCATTATTATCCTCTTCATCTAATGTCTGCTTGTTAGAATAGATTTTTATTTCAATACAGCTTGAAATTGGTTAAAAATGCATGACTCAAATGCATGACTCAAGACAAAAAGGGTTCTAGTCTAGTACACAGAAGATCCAATGATCAGGCAGGAATCCAAAAGCAAAGACGTATGAAATACAAAGGAACGCTGACTAGAGAGACAAAGACAAACTGCCATAACGGGGCAAACACACACACAAAATGATAACTTCACAATAAAAACAGACTAATGTCGTGTATCAAAATGATCTTTAGGACATAAGACAAACAACTTCTCTCAGTTAAGAAGTTTATTTAGAATAGTATAATTAAAATAATACTTGTACAAGGATCTTGTTGGATTGAGAAGCCACAGTCAGTGGAGTGCTGTTTCTCTCTTTCCTCGCCCCAAAAAGAGTCATGACCAAAGGTTACATGAGGTTATATTTGATTATAGTAAGCAATGTGATTGGTGGACTATATGATGGGAAACAACTGTGGTTTAGACTTGGTGCTTCTTTGTTGGTGCACTGGCTGGTCCCAGCCTCTTGGCACACGACCAAATCAATTCTGAGGAGACAGCACCCTAAAAGAAAAATGAGTAATTCCACTCTGCTTCCCCTCCCATGTAATATCATTTATAAAACTAGAGCTACGGTCAGAGCTGGGTGTTCCGGCCTTGGAGATAATCCATTCTTCCTCCCGCGGTCAGGTGTTTGTAGCTATTGTAGCTTGCAAGCAGAGATGAGAATATGTGTTTTTTATCTTTGTGTGTATTAGCTTTATAAAATGCAGGCTTTCATATCTATGTGTATTAAAATATATTGAAATGACTAATCCCTAACACTAAGATGACTGACGGACTAGAACAGTTTAACTTACAAAACCGAACTCAAACAGCCATTAAGGACCAGCTGATTACCACAGGTCCAATAAAGATCTATTTGGTGCTGAATGGCGAGCAGAAACAAGGACTTCCCCCAAAAAATTTCCGTTCATTATAACTGCTTAAAAAATTCAAAAATAAAATATCATTCCTATTGGGTTTAACACACATAAAGAGTCAGCAGAATTGTGACATGCATGTGTAATTTCTTTGTATTATAAACTTATATGTGCAGTAAACCAGGCAGATAACAGGTACAACAACCCCTCAACCCAGAACACCTTCAACACCCACTGTCAGAGTGAAGTTCCTCCTGATGCCTCTGAGGATGAGTCTTGTTTCTCAGTGCGGCCTGAGACCAGTTCAGGACAGCAGAACCTGGAACACCTCATGCAAAGATCTGTGTCCTTCCCAAAGCCACCAGCAGATCTTAACCAGAACCTTCAGCAGCACCTGGTAAATGTGCAGGAAGCTGTGCGCAATGACCTGGTGAAGCTGGGTCCCACGGGGCAAATGGGACATCTGATTGATTGCTACCATCATCAGACATTTGATCACCTCAGTGATCTTCTCCAGAGCGTCCACTCCTTCCAGAATACCCTTGCGCTGATGAAGTGGGTCCTACATACATATCTGAGGTATCTATCAGTCAACCTGTACCTGCATGTTTACCGACTGTATCTCCCTTTACCAATCTTCAGTGCAAACTTGAAGAGGACATGTTTGATGGTTGTCCCACATTCATCCCTGAATCCCTGGTTAGACCTGCTGCAGTTCTGATGTTGGTGTTTGTGGTATTTTTCCAGTTCAGAGCTTCTCCATCATCCTGAACTTCTAGAAATGGATCCTGTAAAAACCGTTGACCTTCTGCTGTACACAGAATGGGTGGAAAAAGCAAAGAACAAACTGCTTGACAATGCGCAGGTAAGAATAGTAACTTGTTAGGGGTGCTCATACAGTGTAAACTATACCATTTCTTTTAGGGGAGCTCCCTGTAAGTGAGCTCCCCTAAAAGACATGCATTCTTGTAGGCCTACTTGCTTTAAGTAACAACCTACATCAATATTGCCTAATTTTATGCATAATCCATGATGGTGAAGATACAGAAAAATAGAAATGTATGGCAAAAACTGCTTTTAAACCTTTATAAAAGGTTCGACCTGGAATATATATATACTCTTTTGGTCCACAGAAAGAGGTCAGACGGTCCCTGGAGGAAATCTTGCAGACAGAGAGAAGACAAGAACGTTGTGATTGTGAGGAAGCTTACATTGGATTTTATGTGGACATTATTCAGGTACTTAATAAACCAGAAATTATAAGAGTTTCTGTTGTTACTCTGAGAGCCAAGGGGAAAGAAAATGTTTGTGTGCATGTATTTGTCCATTTATATCTTTTGTAAAATTGAAAAACTTTATATATTTATAATGACAAATTCTGATAACATTTCTCTTTTTTTAAATTAGATATTTATTTGCTTTGTTTTTCTTATTTGTCTGTTTCTTTATTTGTTGTATAATAATATTGTGTTTGTTTCTCTATAAGTGCATCGATGCCATGCCCAAAGAAGCACAAAAAATCAGCTCAAAACTGTCTAACGACGTCCGAGAAGTTTGTTTCCAAGAGCTGCTGACGTTTCTGCAGAGGTGAGAATCTATTTTATCTCAGCAATAAATTCTTCATCTACACCGACAGCAACCAGACACATTTTAAAAATGAATAAAATTTCGAGATTTGATAAAGAACAGAGTTTAAATTGTTTTTATTCGATTTTTTTTCTTCATTGCCCTTTAATGAAATAAACAGCATATTCTCTTTTATTTTGTAGGTACACCACTGAGCAGAATGACATTCTTGGAAAAAAAGCAAAACTAGACAAACCAGAAACGATACACTTCTTCAAGACTTTGACCACCTGTAATGAACTCAAGTGAGTATTGCTGGTTCTTTGCCAATGATTAATTTAGTTCAGATTTACTGTTCCTTAACATTTAGAATAAAACACATAAGAGCAGTCAACACACTATAGAAATGCAGTTAAAAGACATGAATCACCACGTAGTTACAAGGTTTAATGTATTATAAGAAAATATATAATAAATGTATGATTTTTCCTCTCAGGAAGCACGTCCAGACCAAAAGTAAAGGCATCACAAGATCCCTTGTGCAGGAGACTGTGGAGCAACTTGAAAAAATGGAGGCTTTTACTTTAAACCTTCTTATAGAAATCATAGCGGACATTGCAGAGGTAGCTGTTTCACTTAATCACAAGTTTATTCATATATTTCAATTGAGAATTAAGTTCTTTCTGTACCTTTTTTTGACCAAAAAAGTTACTAAGTTTTGTTTTGCACAATTTCTTTCCCACAGAACCACCTTATGAATTACTTCAAAACAGGAAACAAGAAGTTCTTCAACTCCATCCTAGAAGAACAGTTGAATTTCCCCAAACAGTCGTGGTGCCAGTATGAGGAAGTACTGAAGGTACGCTTCTACCCAGAACCATGTGCTTCTGAAGAAAGGGATCTCCAAGGGTTCTCTGTAAGACCCTTTTCATCGAAGAACCACTTTTTAATAAAGAGTTCTTCAAGGATTGTTGAAAGCATGGATGTTTAAAGATCCTCACACTCACATATGTTCATATTCAAATGTTTACCCATGTTTGAAATTGTATTTTTAAAATGTAGAAGTATCTGAAACCCCATCCAATCAATTCCTTTTACTTGTGTTCTGCCATAATTTATATCTTTACCATCATTTCATGTGATACAGTTAAATACCTGTGTTAAACAGACATGATGTTTATTGGTTAGTCCCTCCGAGGTATGATGTTAGAGACATTCAACACAAGAAACAAACATTTTAAAATATCACCAGCAATATACAGCCAATCTCAAGAAATGTGACAGCCCCTTGGCCAGTGGTATAGTAAAGGTCTAGTAAAGTCTTGACTCTGATCTTTTTTCCACTTTAATCTTTCTTTAACATGACAGAATGACAACTAAAAAAAAATACCATTTTGAGTAATGTCCATTTTCCCTATTTTTGTTACTGCATTTGTTGCAGCCTCCCATCCGTTTGTGTGTAAATATATTTGTGTTGTTTTGTACTGTTCTTCTGTTTCGCTCAGATGGTAATGAATGAGGCCTACAGACGTATCGCTCACATTTACCTCAAACATCTGGTCCAGAGAAGCCAGAGAAAGCTGAAGAGGTGTTGGAGTCCTACTGTTGGGCAAACAATCACCGCAGATGCTGAGCTTCTTCACAACACCATCTCAGACCTGGTGAGATCAACATTTTGCTTAATCACTGATAACAATTCATTCAATTCAATTTTATTTGTATAGCGCCAATTAATAACAGAAGTTATCTCAGGACCTTTCAAATAGAGCAGGTCACAAACCTTTATAACAACTGCTTCTTCTTACTTACCCATTGGCAACATGCTAACCTGTTATGTGTGGGTCTGTTTCAGGTCCCTGATGTCCAGCAGTGGAACCTCATGCTGCTGAAAACTCCAGAGCTGCTGGAGTGCAAAGGCATCGATGCGGTGAAGCTCACAGTTGCAGGCATGCAGAATGAGTGTCTCACATGGAAGTAAAGGATGTTTCTTACACACATCTGTGCCCAATGTTCCCACTATAGTGCAGCTTTGGCCTTGAGAGAAGAACTGACGTATAATCAGAAACACACATTAACTATCAGATCGAATAGCTAGCTAACAATTAATGGAGATAACTAGTTAACTAACCATCTAACTAGTCACAACGAGTGATGTAGATTAACTCGCATTTTACTAAAATGATCTAATTTAAGATGTGACTGTGTATATGTCGCTTTTGTCTTTTAAACAACTTCAGAACTTTTTACCATAGATTACCAAAATAAATGATAATTCCTACTGGAACTTAACTATTGACTGAGGTTATGTTACTGGGCTGGACTAGTATTTGGCATTATTACAAATTTCTATGCAAGTCAGCATGTGGATTTCTTACTTCTCCACCTTTAGGTTGCTGTTTTAATATTGGATTAGCATCTAGTGGCCATTAGAGGAACTACATCTTACAAACTCTTCCCTGTGTTTGTCCTCAACTGCAGAGAGGACCAGGATCTCCTGCCTGTACTGCTGCACTGGAAAGGTCTCTCTGGATGGCAGGTTAGGGAGGTGCTGGACGTCCTGCCTGGGCAGGAGATCAGACCCAGATCTGGATCCTCCTGTCTCACCTGCTGGTGAAGGCTGAGTTCCTCTAAAGAAGATCAACTGCAACAAGCAAAGGATGGAGCTGATCGTCCAAAACATTCAGTAACTTCCACTGAACTTTTCAGACGTTTATCTACAGACGTTGTGTGTCGCCTTCCAAGGAGTCCGCCATGTTTCTACAGTAGCTCTTAATTCCATTAAATATGTACTGTAAATGTATATGTTTATAGTACATTTGTATTGTATTGTATGTACTTACTTGAAGTACAGTGATAACTTTGAATACTTAGGTAATTCATATATTAAAAAAATATATATAAAAAAATTATTGGTGTTTACGAACTGACAGAAACAGGAATGTGTGAATTAATTTTCACTGGAATGAATGCACAAATATACAAGCAAGTAGTAGAGATATTTCTGTCTGAACCACAGTGGACGGCCAACCCACAGGCCAGCACTGTCATTCCTAAAGCCACACTGCAATCAGGGCTAAAAATAAGGGAAACAAAAAACAGTAAGACTGAACTCCTACAGCCATTCTAGCAGCTCTGAGAGGCTGTACTGAGAAAAATGCTTCTCCTAACCCCAATGTTTACACTTGGAAAGGTCTAGGGGAGAAACCTGAATGCATATACTAAAGTTCTTGGCAATCCATCCAGTAGTTGGTGTGATATTTTATTGTAGACCGACAGTGGCTAATGTCAGGTTGATGAACGTGTGACTCAGTGGTTTCCTCAGAGAGTCCAGCAGTGGTCCCGATTACTAAATCCGAAACAACTTCCTTATTTCATTAAAAGATGCAAACACTCACACACACCTGGCAGATTTTACAGCAGTAAAAAGCACCGTGTTTACCAGCAACATGTTCACAATGAACTCAATATTTTACATTCATACAGTAAATACAGCATTTATATTTTACAGTCGGTCTGCAGACAGAATTCTTTACATTCTTAGAAACTTCCTCTGCTGTGCTCATCATTAACAACACTTCTCAGACACACTGAGATAGCTGAGGTGAATTGAAAACACCAACTCATCAAACGTCATACATGATATTGTACAAGCCAACTTTCAGCTAACTTAGAAATGACTTGAGCGAGGAGAACTGAACGTACTGGTACCAAAGTTTTTACGGCTCATTTGACCTGAACTGTGGAGAAAAACGGACGAACAGCGACACAGTTGACATCCTTTAAAGTCTCTGACAGGGTCTTTTTGACGGTTTTCCTGTCGGCTCTGGTGAAGTTGGTCTTGAGCTTCAGCAGGGCCGAAACGTGTTTCTCACTGTGGGTAAAAGAAGGGAGGCAACTGTCATTTTAATCCTAATTACATGAGATTTCTTCTTATTATTATTAATATCAGAGACACTCAAGCAGAGGGTTGTTACACTGTTTCAGTTACAGAAATATGCTGATTTAGTATAACTGTGTCCGTCTGTGTGTGGCAATAGAGATCTGGATCCAGGGTCAGACCAGGTTGAATCTCCTGAGCAAACTGTCACCGTTACTTTTTTATTTTTAATTTTTTAATTTTACCTTTATTGAGCACTGATAGTACAGTCACAAACAAATCAACCACATACGACAGTTTACTCTGACTGACAGCAGCACTGACTACACCAACAGACACACTACAACAAGCTTAGACGGCTCCTTATCTCAGTCCCACTTGAGACGATACACCTAAACAAGACCACTGCACGTCTATGTGAAATAATGCTGTATATATTTGTGTTAAAAGTTAATAATGTTAAGTTAATCCAGAGCAAAGGGTTACCTGAGGTCAGGAAAATCAGTTCCCAGTGACACTACTTGCATCTGTATGGCCGGGAGGCCTTGGAGTTTCAGCACTTCTGCAATCATGGTCAGGATTTTCCTCAACCGCTCCTCCTTTGATCCCTGCGAAGACAATCAGTTAGATCAGTTACAAGTTTCCTACCACAGTAATCTACTCAACTCCTGATTTGAGGAGGATCTCTTTTTTACACTGGATTTTCCCTGGTTTAATCACACTCTGTGGTCGGCTCAGTGACATATTTTTCCTTTATGCTTCAATGTTTTGTCCAATCACTTTCGTGCTCCAGTCTCACCGTGTTTGTGAACAATTCGTGCAAACTCTCCGCGTTGTCTATTATCATATCACAGGCCTCCTCCTGCTGCTCCTTGTTCCTCAGTTTGACTTTTCCTTTCAGAAGCCTCTTCACGTACTCCGCTGTCACTTCCTGGTGCAGCTGGCCAATCAGCTCCTGAAATGTATCCAATCAACAAATCAGAAATCGGTTTAAAAAACTGCTTGATAAGCCAATTAGGATGTTTTAATTTTTCACTTGATCACACGAGTTTTACATGTTTTAATCTATTTATTATTACAAACACTTCACATCAAGGCAGCCACTGGTTTCCACTCATTTCTTTACAATTTGAAAATCAGACAGTAGAAACTCGCTTGAGTTGTTTAATTCATCGCAGTAAAGGTCAGTTTTTGTGTTCTGCTAATTGATTTTCATACTGTCTGGATATTAACTTAAACCTAAAATACATTCAAACATTGAACCTATAGCATGCTTTGTTAGTGACATTAGTTGAAGAGTGTGTTTCATGCTTTCTTCACTCTACCTCGTGACAGGATTTAACCGAACCCTGAAGCTCCTGAAGTTCTTGTTTAATGCTTTCCAGCAGCTTATCAAAAATGTGCTTCTTCAGCCATTCATTGGTTCCCAGCTTGCGGTACTGCGGCTGCGTGAGGTCAAAACATTAGACAGTTAACACTTCTATCCACAGTAGCATAGAATTTACAATACATAATACAATATAAAACAATAATACATTATAATACAATAAGACATACTCCAGTGCTGCAATTCATCCTGTGTGCCAGCTCTCTGGCACACAGGATCAGGACTGGATACACAGATAATATTTGTCTGTAGATACATTTAATGTCGGTTTTGGTCTTTTCATGAAATTTGTCGACAATAAGAAAAAGAAAAGCTGTTAATTGTGTTGTAAATAAACGTACCTTGAGGGACTCGTGCACAGGTTTTAATAGATACGTGTGAGCAGATTGTTTCATGTCACGCAGAATAAGCACACAGTGTTCCTGCACTTTCTTTGGGAACAGTTGGCTCCTGTTAAGAAGAACATCCCTGCAGACAAAGCACAGAAGTCACATTAGCTCGTTGATATAAACGGACCTGCGTCTGCTCACATCACAGTGTTTAAACGTTAGAAACATACGTGAACTGTTCGATGCAGCCGAGGTTGGCTTTGATGAACGGCCTGCTGTTTGATCTGTTCTTCTTGATGATCTTGTTTTGGAAGGTCTTGAACCTGCAGGAGTTGAATGAAAATAGTTGACTTTGACGTCCACATGGTTGCTGTTATCAAGACAAAGAAGCACTTTTAAAATGACACGATGTAGAATAAAATATCAGCGTTGTTACCTCTCCATTAAACCTTTCAATTGGCAGGTTATGTTCTGGGCCTTGGACCGGTCTCTTACAAGCTTTTCAGCGACAGTCACTCTGCCGTTGATGAGCTAAAGACAGATAGAGAATCACAGATCAGTGTCAGTGCTTCAAGAATACTCCATCTCTGACAATTTTCTTAATATACATCAACGAAAAACATCCGAAGTACACAGCCATGTTCTTCCGGCACTGTCAAACTAAGACAAGGACTTGAACCCCTAACTCCAGCTGTGTTAGTGCTTCACTGTGACCTTCATCTGACAGGGAATTACTTTTTCATTACTTAAAGTTTTTACAGTTTGTTAATCATCCAGTTTGGCTCCAGTTAATATGTGAAACCGCCTGGAAAATCTTGTTTTGGAACTCGTACTGGTCTAAAAGATGATTGGTAATGGACGAGAGTCAATATGATGGGTGGATGTTGTCTCTTTGTTGTCACTGCTGCAACATTGAAGAGCCAAAATCTAAGAAATATACTGACTTATACTTGAAATTTAACAATAACAACACATTTCATGTTATTATTTAGTGATTTCAACATAAAAATCACTATTACACAATCTTTCAATGACAGCAAAAAGTTGCTTATGAAGCAACATGATCAGTCATGTGTACTCATGTTTGTTTCCACCTGATGAATGAAAGGAAATATCTGGCTCTTTAGATGCTAAATGTTCCACCATGTTTACCAACTAGTGTGTAACTGTGTCTGCCTGCTGTTTGCTACAGAGGACGTAGTGTATACAGTGTGTGTTTAAAGCTTCGTCTCTGCAGCCAAAAAACAGAAAAAGAGAACCAAAACCATGAAGTTGTGGGCCGAACAACTAAACAATGAACTGAAACTAACTACAAAGCTTTATGAAGCTGAGGAGAGCAGTAAAATATTGCCTGTAGCTGCTTTAACATGATTCATTTTGTACCTGAATGATGTCGTAGGCCACAGGACTGACGAAGCAGCCGTCTTCTCTTGTCGGTTCCTCTCCTTTAATCCACTTCTCCTCTGCATCCTCCAGCACGCGGCCGATGTAAGTCGTCAACTCCTCCTGAACACACAACGACATGCCGCTGTCACTTAAAACATACAGTAACAGACACTAAAAACAGCAAAACATAACTTAAAAGTCCACTGAAATGCTCTGAACTGAAATAAGACAGGGAGCTGCAGCTCAGGTTACCTGTTGTTTGCTCAGGTACTGTTCCTCCAGAGGTTCCAGTAACTCATCAGGCAGCAGCTTTCCCAGCGCCTCATTATTGATCTCATTGACCAGCTGCGGCTTCTGAAGGATCCTGACACAGAGAGCAGAAGTTTGATTAACACCTCAAGACATTTTAGGCACTAAGATCATGATTTTATTTCAATCATTATATCACATCGCTTTGCAATGTCAATCTGTGATGCTCAATGTGATCCAGGTTCACACAATCACATTCTTCTACTTCAGTATCTAAACTTCAAAACAAGGACAGGCAGCAACTTGTTGTTTTCAGTAAAATGTGGGTGACTAACTGGTTTGTGAACACCAGGGTGTGGCTTTCTTTTTGCTACATTGTGTAAGGTTTAGAAGTGGAGTTAATTAATATTTGAAAGTTGTTAGGCTCAGAAGTGAATATAATTTATATTTGAGTTAATTTACTAGAAAAGTAGTAAAGTCAGTTAATTATTTACATATTTATGTTACACAATTATTATTTACATATTTACATATTTAACACAGTCAGGATATTCTATTGAATCTGCCTCTTTGATTCCCTCACGTTTATCTCAGTCTAAGTTCTAGCTTCTGATTGGTTAATTCAGTCATTTTTTCAGTTGTTGTGAGTTGTGAAGTAAAGTAAAGTACCGCTTGAGTAAGTCATCCGTCTCCATCCTGCTGTTTATTCTCATAAAGAGTGATCCACCAACACATACCGAACCCTCACATTACAATCGTATAGGATTTGTGCCGCTCCTGCAACAGATTTATTTTCACACCATTGCACAACTTTAGGGTGAGCTGGATCCATTTAACTGGTTTCACAAAGTAAACACAGACAGACTTAGATGGAAAACAAGGAGATGTTTTGTTTTGAGTCCTTTTGATATTCTAAAATTGGACTGTGAACAATTAAGGGAATTGGTCCTTTAACATCTACCGGACGATGCTGAGGATGTTTTATGAGTCTGTTGTGGCCAATGCAATCTTCTTCGCTGTCACGTGCTGTGGCAGTGGGCTGAAGGTCGCAGACACCAACAGACTAAACAAACTGATCAGGAGGGCCGGTGATGTTGTGGGGGAGGAGCTGGACACCCTGATGACCGTGGCAGAGAGGAGGATGCTGTCCAGGCTTCAGTCTATCTTGGACAATGTCTCACACCCTCTCTATGACACACTGGCCCAGCAGAGGAGCACCTTCAGCAGAAGACTCCTCTCACCCAGATGCCCCACAGAGCGCCACAGGAAATCATTCCTGCCTGTGGTCATCAAACTCTACAACGCCTCCCTCAGAGAGTCAGACACCCCCTCCCTGTAATCTGACTCAAACACAGACAATCATTTTTGCACTTTTTGCACATTACTAAACTGTACATTTTCTTTTATATATATATATATATGTGTATATATATATATATATGTGTTCTTAATATATGTTGTATGTATATCTGGAGTTGTAACTAAAGTAATTTTAATGATTATTAAAGTATTTCTGATTCTGATTCTGATTAGGACTTTGCTCTAGACCTGCTATATATATGCAGTGTGTCTTCAGACTGAGAGAAAAGAATTTAACTACTAAATTAACCAGCAACATTTTGGACAGAAGGTGGACTGATGAACCTTGACAGACATCACCATGTTTAGGCCTGGACAAAAATACACCAGCATAGATCAGAATGGACCCAGAAATAAAAGGTGCTGATTACTTCAAACATAAATTAGAGTCATGACTTACTCTGTATAATAATACACCCATTGCAGGAGGTTAGCGCTGTCTTTTTCATCCAGAATCTTTCTGAGTCTGGCGCTGAGGTACTGGTGGTACAACCTGGCGTACAGGTTACAGATGTCCAGCTCTGGTGGGTAGCAGTTCTTCACCACCTCCACCACCAACAGCAGGTCAGCATTCAGCTGTCTGCCCATGCTGGTGACATCCGCTTGGATAGACGACTGGTCCACCTGCACTGCAGGGGGCGTAGAGGGGTTGTCCATACGCTCCTCCACCAAGCTGCGAAGGGTGTCATCGTGGAGCTTCTTCCAGCCCTTGGGCCTCCAGGCCGGTGGTGTCCTATCCCTCTCTTTCCACCGCTGGTCCTGGTGCTCCTCCTGGTTGATGGCGTTGACAGCAGACGTCAGAGCCTGTGTGCTGACCTCTCCCGGGGTGAGAGAAAGCCTCAGGGTGTGCAGTACAGAGGTTTCCAGATCTCCGTAGTCTGCAGCAAGCTTGTCCACTTCGTCATTGTGATCTTTGAGAGCCTTTGCCTCCGTTATCTCCCCAAACAGACGATCCTCTCTCTCTATCAGCAGCTGGCTGGCCTCATGGAAGCATTTTGTGTTAAGGAGTTCCTCAAATGTGGTGATCACTGAGGGAGAAAAGCAAAACATTTTTTGCAGATGTTTACAATAAACTCTAAACTTCCAGGAATTTATTATATATTTAATTTAAGCTGCAGCTGATTTTCATTAGTTATTCTCTTTCTTAATAGTTTGACAGAGATCTGATTCCAGCTTTGTCTTCTATGGTAGTACATTGAATTTTGATCAGACAATGAATCGAGTAATGCAGCATTCATGTATCATTTTTCAGTCACTTTAAAAGGTTATTGCTATTCACATTATACTAAATATAGGTTGTCCTACCTGAGGTATCATTATAATCCTGTATTAATCATATTATCTACACTATAAGGTATGTTAAGTGATTGCGAAGGAAATCAACAGCTTACTACTTTTGCTTTTTTTGACCTCATTGCATTTTGGTATTTTTCTCTACTATGATATCTCTGTTCTTTTCCCAGTTAACCTTTTCCGCTTCACCCCTTCCTATAATAAACCTGTTTCTGTTTCTTTTAGGAGTTGACGTACATGATCTAAAAGCTCAGAGTGTAGTCATAAATCTAATCATGTGAGTGTATGAGGGAATAAAACATTATGATAGAAGTATATTATATTATGTCTAATAAGATGTTAATAGCATTTGTTGTACAAAATTTGACCATTACAGACCACTCAAAGATTAAAAAATCGCTCCATGATGCCACATTAATTAAATTTTCAATTCAATTTTATTTGTATAGCGCCAATTCAGAACAGAAGTTATCTCAGGAGACTTTTCAAATGGAGCAGGTCTAGACCGAATAACATTTACAGAGACCCAACAGTACCACCACGAGAAGGCACTTGGCGACATTAAGACACCAAACTTTGCCATTTTGGAGATTAGGGCAATAATTTAAGTGGAAATTGCTCACAAACCCCTCTTATTGTCAGATATACATAGAATCTGTGAGGTTGTTGTTTTAAATCTATTCAGATTGTTCTCTGTTTCTACTTTTGTTAGTTTATTAAGTACAGATTGATATAAGGTGTATAGTTATTACTGTATAATATCTGCAATAATCTGAAATCGTCCTGTCTACAGTTAATAAAATAAAACTATAATGTCCAGAATGTCTCAGCTAACTCCCGGTTCCTCAGTCATGTATGTTTCTTCCTGTTATGTACAGGGAAGCAAAAAGGTGGACTGAGGTAGTCCCATGATTCAACAAGTCTGTGGTCATGATGGCTAACGGCTGGATGTTCCTATATGTGACGTTAGCTGACCTCTTTGGGGCTTCTCTTCCTTGGGCGAGCGGCGTCCATCAGTCGCTGAGGGTAACAAGGTCACGGCGTCTTGACCTGTTTGGCCTGTACCTGCTGGCAAATCTGTGGAGAAAATGGCAAATGTTTGTGAATGAAACAATAAAAAGTTAAGTTAAGCTTCTGTCATTTTGTGCATTTGAAATGATTGTATAATAGTTTCTTATAGTTAAGAATAAAAAGAAAGTTTAAAAAGATCACTAACTGCATATTTTCAATCTACAAAACAACAGCTTCTGTTTTTATCAATAAATAAATAAAATCACAAAACACCACAACAAAAGAGAGAAACTTTAAAACCTGGTGTCCAGTGATGCTATATCAACATCAAAAACACACAGAATGTGCAAAAAAAACGAACATGCAATAACAGCATCAATGAATAACAGTAAGAAAGAAAGATCCTGGAGAAGATATCCACAACTTTTCTTTAACAGTAACTGTAATGTGGAATAAGTTGCTCTGGAGCCTTTCTTGAGATTAATAGCTATTAATTCCCCGACAGACAAGATCAGCCTTTTTGTGTTAATTCTCCCAGCAGCTGCTACTCACCCTGATCGCTCCTAGAGGCTGTTCTCTGTTACAGCTGAGTTTCAGTTTACAGTCAGTGGGTTTTTATAAAGCAGCTGCAGGAGCTCCTCCTCCTGCTCGAGATGTACATTAAAATCATCCCAGACTGGTGGAAAGCCCTCACACACACACACACACACACACACACACACACACACACACACACACACACACACACACACACACACACACACACACACACACACTCACACACACAGGCTGGACTTTTTTTAGACACACAGGGCTGAGGCAATGTTGGTAACGAGTTGGTTAAGAGTGAAATATCTCATGGATTGTTATGAAATTTTGTACAGACGTTCATGGTCCGCAGTGGATGAATCCTGATTACTTTGGGGCTCCCCTTGCCTTTTCTCTAGCGCCACCAACAGGTCAAACATTCCATTTAGGATTGGATATGACCCAAATTAATGGCCACGTTTCTTATATGTGTAATTTCTGCCACTAGGGGGTCTCTCACATCAAAACAACCCAAAGACTTTAGGATTCCTTTAGTGTTGATCATTTTCTACCATGTTCACAGTTAACATCCTTTGTCCTTTGTCTGCTTCATAACAGACAAAAGACGTCCCAGAGGGGCTGCGAGCTGAGCTGTTGTTTCTCTGATAACTTGAGATCCAGACCACTAAAATCCTTCATCTGGTTAAAAGAGTAAAAAAACCAAAGATCTAAAAAATTTAGGGGAAAAATGTAATGCAAAGGGCATGTGACGCCACTGGCAGGCGAGCTGGTGAGTTTGAACATTGTTGAAAACATTTGAGATGATGTGAGTACACAGTTATGTGTATATATATATATATATATATATATATATATAAAATAGGTCTGCAGAACTAAACCCACCTTTAACTGGTGAATAATTCGGAGTATAACATGTCAGAAAACCTAGAAAGATGCCCATCAAATTCAATTTACTATCATTAAACGACAATCAAGTTATCACATTTGAGCTGGAACCATTAAATGTTCACTATTTCTGCTTAAAAATTGACTTAAATGAGACAAAGTGTGGCTGTGCACCTTCGACAGAAAAACAACAGCAGTGGTTTTCTGACTACCTGTTTATCTGCCTCGTGGTGCCATGTGCTGTTTCACATCCTGCTGTATCAACTGTAAAATCTGATTTCTTTTTACCATCACCACAATCTTATCCAAACATCAACCAAGGAGTTTTTTTTTACCTAAACCAAACTTTACCAAACCATAGCAGAGGGCAGATTAGAAAACAATCACAACCTTGTTCAGGTTTGTCAGATCAGAACATGGTGATGAATGTGACACAAGAAAATAATTAGTGATCTGAACTCCAGTTTCAAGTTTAGCGTGCCACCTATCCCCAATAAAAAAGCCCAGCATTTTGTTGATGTTGTGGTATCTGGTTACATTAAAACGCCACTATATGTAATTACAGGATTACCAGTGGCCGCAGTGAGACGCAGGAAATCTCCCACAATGGATGCAGTAGAACATGCTGCCAAGGCCCTGGACAAGACAGCAGAGATGGAAGTGAAATACATAAACTATTGTAAAGGTATGGGGTGTATGTGTTTCTGCAATAATTTGATATAATTTGGTTTTGATATTATGTAGTTTTGTGAAAGCTCACCTCTTGCTAAGACGGAGGGATTTATTAAAGAAAAAAGGATGATTGCATAAAATAAGGTTGTGAATTTTGTTCATCTTAGCCTAGTTTTGTTGTGATGGCCTGACTGAATATTTTCAATATTGCCACTATTTCTGGCCACTTTTATTCTTTTATTACTCTCTCTCTCTCCTCTCTCTCTCTCTCTCTCTCTCTCTCTCTCTTGTATTATTACTCTCTCTAGGTTTCTGCCTTTTAACAGGCAGTTTTTCCTTGCCCTTGTCTCCAAGGTCTTGCTCATGGTGGTACTGTTGGGTACCTTTTAATGATGTTTTAAATAGTTCGGTCTAGACCTGCTCTATTTGAAAAGTGTCCTGAGATAACTTCTGTTATGAATTGGCGCTATACAAATAAAATGTATTTGAATTGAATTATTACATATTTCTTTACTTTTCACCCCCCTTCTGTGAATAAAAAAATGGATCAGAAATGTCTTTTGTCAGAAATGGAATATAATATTCAAAGGTATGTTTTCATCAGGGTGTAATCACCTGAATGTAAGAATTGTTGTGTTGTGGTGGTTGAACATGGTGGACCCGCTCCCTCTGTAGATAAAAATGTCTCATTGTAAGGTAACAAAAACACAATAAATCTTATTTTCAGAACATATCTATGAATATTATATTCTGCCAATAGATCCTCCGAAATGTTACACACTGGACCTTTAAAGGGGTTTATTCGTGGGAGTAAGTTCTCTTATCTCAGTCAAAGTTCAAAGGCCAAAGGTTGGGTACCCGGTTAGCTCAGTGGGTAGAGCTGGCGACCCATGTACCCAGGCTGAGTCTTTGCTGCAGGGCCCAGGGTTCAAATCCGACCTGCAGCCCTTTGCTGCGTGTCATCCCCTCTCTCTGCCCCCCTACTCTGTCTTCAGCTGTCTCTATCATAAAGGCAATAACCCCCCCTCAATAAAGGTCAAAGGTTCTTGCATTGATCAGTAGCAGTATTGGTAACATTACTTACTTTGATCTCAATGCTAAAACATTCACAGATCAGCCCCGGACCAACAAACTGTGATTCACTGTGTGTTCTGACCCCTTTCTATCAGAACCAGCTTTAACTGTTTAACTGCAGTTTGAGCTACAGTAGCTCGTCCACATAGGGTTGACAATACTATCAGTGACCCTGAGACAATTAAACTTTGAAACACTTTTCACACTTCAATGTTTGTGTATTATGTCACAAATGATTCATACAGATCTCATACATTATGTTACACTGTGTATTTTCCGTATAAGGTTGTTTAATATACAATGTAGTGTTCTGTATGTTTACAAGACTATAACTAAAGTTATAATTGTCTTACTCTACAGGAAAAAATATAGATTTAACATAAAGTTATGAGGATTTTTTAACACATATAATGTGTGCTAATATACAAACAAACATTCAATGTGTGCATTTTACAACTTTTTTCTATTTGGCTCAGCCATGTTTCCCATCACTTTTACAGCCAATATCATCAAGACATCCATAAACCGTGCTGATAACGTCATTAACCTGGACGATGCTGTAAACAGTTTTTCTTACCTTCTGTTTTGCAGGATCCACAGCATTCGCAGCAGAAACACCGGCGAAGCGTCGATAACATAGCTCCTAAAGGCAGCAGTGCTCAAGTGTGTGAGTTCATCTGTCACTGCAGCAGGTTGATGAAACACTGAGCTGAGGTGAAAAAAAATTTAACATTTAACGATCTGACAACCAGGATGTTGGTTAAGTCACACTCTGAAAAAAGTCTGCCCTGCTTTTCATTTAAGCGCGCATGTGCTGCACCTTTGCATACTTCCTCTGAGAACTCACACTGATGATGTGAGAATCAAAGCTTGAATGGTTTCAAAATGTCCCCTTTCTGTCACCCTGTGGGACAAAAAAAATTTCTTGCAGTGACATAATTTTTTGAATCATATAAACTTTTAGATTTGTGTCAGGGTTCAATTTAAAACAAAAACATTTGGTCATCCTAAGCAGACTCAGCTTATTTAATTTAAATTTAAAGCTGTGATTTCTGATTAAAACAGGCTGAAGAAATTAGAATTTACACACATTAAGCCGTTTATTCATCATCATCACATAGTGCAGGTTGCCAGACGTAGTGGGTGATCCTCAATAAATAGATCCAGCTGCAAACTTTATGCAGAGTGAATCCTGGATCCATATGTTAGTTGTACTGAATACTGAACTTTTAGCAGCGTTGTTTCAAACTGAAATGAATGAAATATAATGTTAATTGTATGAAACAATCAGTGATATATGACCAGTAGTTCCCAGTAACCTTTATTTACCCAGGAAGTTCCTTGAGATTGAAATCTCTTGTGAATTTGGTTCAAGGTTGCATATTAGTTTTTATTGGCAGCCTCTTTTTATGAATTACATTTCAGACAATGTCTTTGTAAACAAAGTAACTGCAGCCGTCAGCTTGGGATTTCCTAAACTACCATTCATAATAGTGGCTTTCCAACAAAGTAAACACAGTGTGTGTGTGTGTGTGTGTGTGTGTGGTCACACCTAAACACCACTACCACTTACAGACACACAGTTTGGCAAAGGTGTGTTTCTTTAGATGTGGGTGTCAAACCTGAACCGTTGATTTCACGAACACAAATAAACACATTTTACATTTTTCAGTACATTTTAATGCTCTTTTGTAGGTGTGAGATTATCTTCACTGGTTTTTTAGACAGAAAATTATCAATACAAACAGCTCAATAATCATTATAGCTAAAAGAGAATAAAATAGATTACTGTCTAGACCTGCTCTGAAAAGTGTCCTGAGATAACTTCTGTCATGACCTGGTGCTCCTATAGTGTCTGCACTCTACTAGAAGGCAGTCTGTGTGTTGCCTGAGAGGCAGGAACCATAAAGCCAGCAAATCACTTGTTATTTCTAAAGCCTTAATGCTGTGAGAAACGCACTAATAACTGAAGGCAACTATGATTAGCATCTGCAACATTTTGAGAGCTTCTCACGTCTGCGTTTTGGCTGTTAGACGGTCAGAGGACACAGGTTAGAGGTCTATTAGTGACTGAAAGTGAAACTGTAAAAGTCAGGGAGACAGAAATAGGATTTTGAAATGTGAGGGGGGACATGTGCCTGCTATCACTAGTGGAAACTCTATCAGGACTCCCCTGATGTTACCATGTTCAGTGTGTTGTTTTAGCATGTTACCTAACTCTAGAATACAGCGGGGAGGGGGGGGGATTTGCTGCTATTTGGTCCAAAATCAAAGTGTAAACCAAGTTTTAACCGGATGGAGACAATACCTGAAAAGTCAGAAGATCAAAGTTATCATAAATCATCCTCTGGGGACCATGACTTCCTGTATCAGATTCAAATCAACAACAGTTGTCAAGTAAAGAACTAAAAATAAAATCAGCCTCACCGTGGATCAAAAGCTCCAGAACAGCTACTAAATGGACATGTTGTGTTTTGTCAACAGCGGTTTTCGTGGTCAGGAATGAATGTTGAATCTTTTTGTACTTCTCAACCAAACCTAATTCAGAATAGAAGCTTTTTTACTCTAGTGTACTGACTTTTACATAAAATAAAGGTAAACTTATCGACTGTCAGTCAGTTTATGAAAAAACTAATATGGATATCCTTGTGTTTACATTTTGATCACAGCTTGCACATTTATTAGAAAAAGAGTTTAAATTCACACAAGGGGAGGTTTATGTTTAAAGTTTTCTATCAATGAAAACATTTGCACTGAAATGGGGTTTTGACATTATTTCACTCCAGAATGACACAAAAAAGAAACATCTTGGTCAATCTGACCTGTAACTTCTGTGTTGGGACATGACAACCTCTACAAAAACATGAGCCAGATGCAAAATGAAAGTATCTCAACTGTTGATGCACCAATTTGCATCAGCGTCAAAAGTGAAAGAAAGAAAAATGTCATGTGGAAGTTACAGACACCACAACAACCACAAGTACAACGAATAGGAACATTTACATAGGCCTTTCAGAAAATATAGTCTTTATAGGAAATCTGCTTCTGCCGGTTCCAGATGTTTTCTGTATTACTGCAGGGAAGTTATTTTCAGTGAGTTTTCTTTTACTGAAAAACATGTTTTACTGTACTTTCAGGGATCATTTCTTTAGGTCATGATTTGAAAATCATAATATCTCGGTCCAGAAGTTGTGTAAAAATGGACAAAAGCAGATTGTGTGTTTTACAGTAAAGAGGCAATGATCACATGTTTGGCCTCCAGTTGATTTCCTGTTTGGCACGGTGGACTGAGGAGTGGACAATGAGTAATACCTTCTCAGATAATCTCACATCTAAATCTTCTACTCTGGATTTTATCTCTGGCCTAAAACTTGATGTCTGAATTACCTCATCTGACAAAGTTTGTTTGATAAAGGGGGGGGTTACCTCACAATTAAATCAGAGAGCGTGGATTCGGTAAGATTGGCTGCTCCCATTAATTAAAAAATATTTCTTGCATTGAGTATCCAGTAAACTAGAAAAGGACAAAGGGGAGTCTAAAGGTGTTCACTGTTGAAAATAATCCCACTGAGGGTTTTTTTCTGGGGAACTGAAACATTTGAATCTTTACCTTTTTGAAACCCAGTCAGATCATGTTTGTCGTTCCACATTCCGCATACAACTGAACTTTTCTGCTTTACTACATTTCAAACATTAATGGTGGTCCAGTTATGGACTTCTGGTTTTTTAAAGAACCATTTTTACTGCAGTAGTATACCAGTTACAATTCTAAGTAAAGCCAAGGAAGATAGAAGTCTATGGTTAACAGACTATAGTATGCTCACTCAGATCATGTTTCCTCCATCAGAGTCTCATTCAGAAACTCTGAACACTCTTCAACAGTGGAGAAGAAACAAAGTCTTCCCACCAGTTTCCTGCTCTAAAGGAAACATCTGAACTCTTCATTGTGGGCAGCAAGACTAAACTCTTTACAAAAACATTTGTCAAATAAAGAACCAAAGAAATGATCTCTGAAAGGATAGTCTTGGTTGTCTCTGGATGTTTCTCAGGGTCTTATGTCTGGAGACGAGCACTTTTACTCCTGGTGACCTCCTGTGGTTCAGACAAACACTCCTCCTTAGTCACAGCATCATCACTGACAGAACACACCAGCCTTTATTGAGTTTTTGGACTAAAATTAAGTCCATTTTAATGGAAGTTCTGCATTCAGGGCATTTGTATTTATGAAAGTAACATACATTTGGACAATTCTTTCATGTTGAATTAAAGTTTTGTGCACTCTGATGTACAAGAGTGTGCTGACAATAATACTGTCAGAGATAATTTCTTTAGCTTTTGACTGTTATGATGTTATTGGAAGTGTCTACTTGATGATGCTGTGATAGTAGGAGGAGTATCTGAACCACAGGAGGTCACCAGGAGTAAAAGTGCTTGTCTCCAGACATAAGACCCTGAGAAACATCCGGAGCAAACCAAGACTATACTTTCAGGGATCATTTCTTTAGTTCTTGACTTGAGAAATGTGTTTCTAAAGAGTTTGGTCTCGCTGCCCACGATGAAGAGTTCAGATGTTTCTTTCAGAGCAAGAAACTGGTGGGAAGACTTTGTTTCTTCTCCACTGTTGAAGATTGTTCAGAGTTTCTGAATGAGACTCTATGGAGGAAACATGATCTGAGTGGACTGTTCTCATGTCAAATAAATTCTTTAGATCAGTTATTTTGCAGAACATATTTATCAATGTTTTTAGAATTACATTAAAGCAACAATAGAAAAGTTGGGACTCTCCAACTAGGGTCATTATTTCATTATGTTTGTTACAAACATGCCTGACATTTTGGGTTTGTTTCCTCTGGTTTTCCTCTGGTCTGTTGTAGTTTCTGTTTTTTTTTTTTTTTCAAATTACCACCATACCATAGTTCAGTTTTTATCGTAGTTTTTTTATATCTGTATTTATTTATTTCAAGTAATTGCTGCTGTGACAAGGAAATTTCCCCATTGTGGGATTAATAAAGTAATACAATACAATACAATACAATACAATATGTGTTCATTTTATTTTACAATGCACCACATCAGTCATTTTAGGGGAAACAAATCTGTTTAAAGAGAATTTTCTGTTATATTGGAAAAGGCAGCGGTAACTCATGAACAAGTAATTTAGCTCACAGCCACACTCATCTGTCACAGAATGAGTAGAGTTTGACTAAGAGTGTTTTTTTTTTTTTTTTTTTTTTTTTTTTTTTTTTTTTTTTTTTTTTTTTTTTTTTTTTTTTTTTTTTTTTTTTTTATTTTAATTTATTTAATTAAAAATTTTTTTTTTTTTTTTTTTTTGGGGGGGGTTTGTTGGGGAGGGAAAGGGGGGGGGGGGGAGGGGGGGGGTGGTGGCTTCAAAAAAAAACAAAAAAAAAAAAAAAAAAAATTTTTTTTTTTTTTTTTTTTTTTTTTTTTATTTTTTTTTATTCGAAGATATTTTTTTTCAGGGAAGGGGGAATTTTTTCTTCTCCCCTGTTAATTTTTTTAAGAGACTCTGATGGAGGAAAACATGATCTGAGTGGATACTTTGTTCTAAAGCTGATTAAACGTTTTCTAAGCATTTAAGAGTTTTGTTTTGTGTCTATTCTTAATGCGTTCTCTTTTTTTAAAGTTGTGTTTCATGTTTTCAGTATGATGTCGAAGGAAGCTACTGTCCCACAACGCAATGCACAGCATTCAC